CCGAGCTCATCAGCAGTGTACATGGTTTGATTCAGCTTAGAAAGCCGAATCATTTCAAACCAGTCGACTTAAGTTTTAAATTGAACAGCATTTTTTGAAAAACCTCATTCATTAAAGTTACATTTATTCATATGCCCTGTTGTTGGAAGTCACTCACTTTTTTAATCTCCCCGTGACTACATTACAGAACTTGATTCCACACTGTTGCTGTATGCTTTCATTCACAAATTTATGTATTTCATCATTCATGATATGTTGTAGACGTGCTGAAAGGGGATTAGAAAGCAATCACTCATTATACTACCTACCTACCTCTATTCCATTTCACTGGTTATAACTGGAATGTATGTGAGTGAGAAATTATCCATAAATTATTCATTGAGGTCACTGACCGCATAAATCATTTTGAAATGAGATATTTGAATAATTTTGCCGAGTCCAGTGGAGAGCGTTTTGTTCAGAGCATATAGAATATTAAATTACTGGAATATTAATTGACAATCAGGTTTCAAGTTACACAGTTCAAGGTGAAAATTGAGTACGGTTTCCTTTGGAAATTGAAAATGTGTAGATGACAATATGTGATGTGCATTACTGCCTAGGTGACAGTGAAGGAAGGGAGCACAAATTCATGATGGTTGTTGTCATATGCTGGTGATTGATGGGTGTAGCTGGGGAGCACTCACATCAAGCAGTATTGCTTTGTAGCTGGTTAGGATGAATTGATTTGTTGATGTGAGATGGTGTAGATGTGTGGTTCTGTAAGAATTAGCGAGATGTAGATGTTATTTTTGTTGCATCATGTGTCTTTCAGTGACTTATTATCTTTCTACTGAATTCGATGTGGCACCATTGGAGATTGAAATGGTGTGATAGTAGTTTGAATTGTGATGGTTGGTTTATTCACTGTTTGGAATTTGAGACTTGATATTTTCCATCATATGAAGAATTTTGTTCAGTTTTGAGACATGTATCGGGAAAAGATTTTCTTTTAGTAATAGAAATAACCTTCAGAATTTTGCAAAGCAAATTGTACTTATAACTGCAACTGATGTGTGTGTGCGTGTCGGTCGTTTTATCCTATTATACACAGTTCAGTATTCACATGTTGTTTAGTAGTTTTGTAGGTACATTTGTTCTTCTATGCCATTTATATTGACAGCATATGGACAATTCATCTTTACTGTGTAAGATGAATGTCTTCATATGTTTGAACAGCTTGCTTACAGAGTTTTTTCTAAAACGATTTATCCTAATCACTCTGATATATCCAGGCTTTCATCATAACACATTGTATAAATATATTTTCATTTCGCATAGTGTTCCAAATGTATCTAGGTACCAAATTCAGACTTAGTTTAACACTGTAAGTGGTGATAAACAAATAATTCTTACTCAGTGAATTGATTAACTTTGTTTATTAGTGGTAGATTTTCAGTTTATAGATTTCACGAAATGTCGGATGATTTGTAAAGTGAAGTGGTATTCAGAGTTGGAGTGCTTCTCTGACTGAATTCATTATAGGATAATAACAAGCGAAGGTGTATTGGGTGGGTGTTTTATTCTGATCCACAATGCTTTAATGGTATCATCTCACAAAGTCACGAGGACTCGAACCCAAAACTATCTTATTTCGATGCCAATCTGTAACCATCCATTAAGTTCTTAACTCCCAACTACTGTCATTTAGCGTTGTGGCAGGAGCATTGTCTGTTCTCCTAGTGAATATCTCTTCTAACATCCGAATAGAGGGGTTCTGCGAAGCGTGATTTGTCATTTCAATTTCGAGAAATATATCTGGAAACGAATCATTAGGAGCGAAAGCAGACTGACATTCAGATTTTAAATTTGTGGGATCACAGTTCACTTTAAGGTGAAAAGCTGCAATACAATTCAAGTTATATCTTCAGTGTGGGACTTTAGATGGTATGTTTTCATGGTATCCACACTTTATTTCGAATCAAATCAGTCTTATGAAAGTCATTAAGATTTTGTAGTACCTTTGTGACCATTACCTCCGACTGTTCGACAGATATGTAAGCAAAGGTACATTATTGGTGCTTCAAATAATATGTTTAGTCTCGAAAACTATGGAGAATTTTATGCATTTGTGATTCAGTAATAGAATGCTGGCCAACCACATACGACATTTGGACTCGAGTTCCAGCCGATGGACTTCTAAATTTCGATTCCCTGGTCAGATGTGAGGCTGGCAACATAACCACGTAAAAAAAACACCGCTACTGAAACCCTATGTCACTGAATTGGAGCTCTGAGAGTGAAGAAATTAGGAGTTATTTTGACATATTGAATTATTTCTGAGTGCATATTTGTTATGAAAATATTTTGATTTTCATCAGCAAAATGTTGCTTCTGACTGTATCTCATATAACACCAGTAAGTGAATGTTACTTATATTTGTCAACAGGTTTCATCACTTGGATAAAAATAAGTTTAAATTACAGCCTGTGAAATAGACACTGGTTGCTAACTGTAACCCCAGATTGGTTCTTTGAGTCTTGTGGACACCAAGACAGTTGATTTTGATGTGCTTTATAATTTATTAAGTTTGAACCTTAGAATTCGGTCTGTGTGATTCAAATGTCTCACCTGTTGCAGTCAGTTAGCTACTCAATCTTGAAGAAATTAGTTTCCTCTAGTCTGTTTGAATCTGCACTACTAAGTGCAGAATGCAACAGTTTGAATACAAAGCTATCCATGTTACTACGTACACCATAGCCTACAGTACTGTTGTATTTTCAGCAAACTGACGCATGGGTGCTATTTATTTTTACAAGAGTCACTCGCTCCTCATACTGTTTATCGGTGGTGTCTAGATATCAGGGAATGTGAACTTTCTGAAATATTGAGATGAAAGTTGTTGCCAACACAGGTTCAATTCACCAGCCTGGTTGTCTGGTTCTGACTGATTGAGACTTGAACAACCACTGATTTCTTCATGTACTTTTACCTATACATAAAGTTCCTTTAGTTAACAATACAGTGAAAAAATTAGAAGTTCTGAAATTACAAAATATCGTTTCTTTGCTGATCATTCCAAGCAAGAAGTATAAAGAGTTAGAGTTGCTCAGTAACAGTAACCTAGGTAGATGTAAGTGGGCATACAATACGGATTAACACTACTGATCAATAATCTTTTTTGTTATTGTTTAAAGTGAAATTTATGTTTGCAACCAACAATGAATAAATTAGGTAAAAGAATACCTTAGATTCTACTAGGATTAGCAAAAAAGTAATTTGTAGTCATAGTTGTCTGTATCACATGTTAATACTGCGTCGCACAATGAATAAGCCATATGAATATATATATGCTAAAAAGCAAGTAATATGCACTGTTTGTTATTTTATGTGTCTGGAAAGTTGGCTAAGTTTTGTTTATCATTTGTTACTTTTAGAAAAAGTCCCACTTGAATAGATCTTTTGTCATTTTGAGCCTCCTCAAAGAAGTCAAGTTGTTTTAGAATGGTTGTTTTAAACAATGAACAATGTTAGTTGAGCAATTATTAGTTGGCTTTCATTATTCAAGGATAAAGAGGAGAAAAAGAAAAAAACAACATATAAGGAGATAATGATTTCTTTGTCTCCCTGTCTCCTGTCATGCAATTTATATCTGCCGATGGCTCTTTTATCTTTGTTTATTTGTATCTCTCTCTTGCGCACTTTAACTCTTTTCTTGTTAGCAGTTTTTATACATCAATGATAATTTTTGTTCTCCATGTACAGTGTAGATAACTATAAGTATCAGCTAGAAGTTAAACAATGAAAAAAACACACTATGTGTTATGTGTGACACAAAGTTCTGAGTCACATTAAAATACACGTAATAGATGTAGCTTATTTTTTCCTGTTATGGTTTTTCCTGTATTGATCACGGTTTTAATGAAAACTATGGAAATTAATTGATTATGAGAATGTATTTATTGACTGACTGACGGGCGTTTTATAAGCAAGAAGCCTTATTTGATCTAGGTTCTGTGTCATTTATCAGTTATCAGTAGTAGACAGTTGCAGGGGTTCTTCATAGATTTGAGTATGCCTCATTAAATCTTACAGTCAGACACCATACCAATAATTTGTTTGTGTTGTGGTGTAAATTAGTAGCAAGATAATGATGTACTATTCACTTGATGAGATCAGTATATTGTGCATTAAATGAACAAGAAAAGGCTACATAAACCACTTCTCACTATGGACATTTAAAGTTTTCCTCTAAGTGAGGATACATTTTGTTGTATCTGTAGATAAGCCAATAGATTTATCAAATAGCAATAACAGCACTTACATCATGACTAGATTTTTATCTTATTGATTATTTTATTATTTCAGTTTTTATTGGGATTCAAGTCGTATGATTGAATACCACCTATCAAGAGGTTAACTTAAAGATATTTTTTAAACCATAGATATATTGCATTTTGTCTGTTAGCTTGTCAGTAGTAAGAGGTACGTTGAACTAAAGCGGAAACTATGTGTAGTGATAGTTAGCTACTACGCTTTATGGACAATCTTCAGAAGTTCTATTTGCAATGAGTTTGACGTTTCTTTCTAATACTTGGCTACATTCTACATTTTGTGTATGTATCACTCACTAAACTAGTAACATCGCACATAGACACAATAAACTGTGTCCCTAGATGAAAAGGACACTTACTTCCCGTCTAATAAAAGTAACAACGAACTACTGGGTTAAGTTGAACCGAATGTATCGAAGGCTAACTGGTGAAAGTATAAGTGGTGAGCTTATCGATCTTGTAGTCATAAAATGACTATTTTACTTACCAACCAATGAAATAATGACACTTAACTGCTAATACTATCGTTGGTTTATTCAGTAAACAGTACCAAACTGCTGGAGGTGATATCATCAAGAAAATTTATCTTACACCGATATCAATTGTATTGTTATGACATCGTCCTAACCTACCTTATTGTCTTCTAATTCCATTTTTTGTTCTTTCTGTTTTCTATATTATAAATAGGTCTGCTGGGTTAATCAGAGAGGCGATCAGCAACAACACATTTCTGATGCATTTAGAACAATCACAGAAAGAGGAAATTGTAGCCTGCATGTATAAGAAGCAAATCCCACAAGGTTGTTTCATAATACGTGAAGGTGAACCAGGAGATGCATTGTATGTCGTATCAGGTAGGACAGTGCTGTTGGTGAATATACTGCATTTTATTTTTATATGATTTATATTTTGTTCTTCGAAAATTAGTTTAATCTTGATCAGTGTGATCCCTTTTCAATTTTTTTTGGCAAGTATTCATATTAGATACTTGAGTGAGTAATAAATGTATATCGAAAACACTGCAGTGTTTATGGCATAAAATTGTCCTGTTCAGAGAATCTGGAAGGCTTAATTTAGAAGAGTGTTGGTGAAAGGTATTTCAGTGAATATGGTCGTTATTTTTATTCAAGTTGCATAGGAAGCAGACATTAGTGAAATGTAAGGCGATGCATGGAGATTTTTGTTCGTCTAATGGATGCGTTCAGATTATTTTCTGAATTATTGAAGTCATTCAACACCTGTACTTCGTTGATTACTTAGACAGTATTCTGACTGAGAGTATTACGATACTGACAAACAGTATAACTATGTGTTCGCTTTTTCTTGTGCTTTCGGTAAATTATATAAAAAGGAAGTCACAGAAGCTTGTGTTGTGGTACTAAGAACTATTTTGGGCCAATGTTGGATTCATTCTTCATGTTCTTCAAAGTTTGATTAGGCTTTTTGTATTATATGTACAGTTTGACTTTTCATAACCGTAGTAAGATATCTTTATTTAGAAGGAAACATATTTCACATTGTAAGTCAAGCTCAACTAATATATAGTGTGGGTTTAAAATAATCTGTTGAATAAAAGTGTAAAAGTTTACAAATAGACCGATAATGACAATGGGTTAAAGCTAGACTACTAATGATGACCACAACCATTGTGGACCTGGTTATATTTATGATGATATACTTACTGAAAGAAATTTTGGCTCTGTGGGGATATGTTCACATACACACGTGTCCATATTTGTCTGTTTATCTGGATAAAAGAACAATTCAATCAATGTAAAGTACCATTTTGTCTCTGTAGACGAGAAATGTCACGTCAGAATAGGTGGTATGTCAAAAAAGTCTGTGTAACTCATGTTATTCAAAGAAATAAATTCAATTTCTCTGCTTACTACCTTATTATTTTTAAGCAGCGAGAAGCCATCTGTCAGTCTCCTCATTTCAATTTTTCTGCCTACAACACATTTTGTTTACGTGATATACGTAACATTCTACCGTAATAATCGTGACTTATTATTAGTAATCCTCCAAAAACTCACCTTAAGTTTATCTTAAATTCTTATAGTGCTTACCGAGTCTTTTATCCACTTATCACAACTGACACTTTGAAGCCCAGATTCATGGCGAGCAGTTTCAGTTATATAATCGTATTCCTCCATTTTGACTAAATTCCATTTACCATAGTGTTATTTTTTCGCATAATTTTATCTGTAGGCTTCATTGTTTATTACCTGATAATCCTTATGAATTTATATCCAGGGTATAACGCTACATAGTCTGTCACTTTCCAAGCATACATCCTAAATGTTAATAAACGAATAATACAAATAAATTTATATATATATATATATGTATAACTTTAGCATGTGCAACTGGTGCACTTGACTGGAAGTGTTTGACGTTGCGTATAGACCTTGCCAACTGGTGTCAGTGAGCGCGAAGCCTAGGTTCAGAGCTTCTTGCTGGTTAGAGGTCATCGAACACATTGTGTAGCTCTTTCTTCTACGAGAGATTTCTTGCAAATCTTATTTTACTGATTACATTTGTATATTGTAGTTAACCCGTGTTAACAAATTTATTATAATTTTAGGCCCAACTTCATAAATTACGTTCAGTTGTCAGATAGTGCATAAATATGATATGCTTCACTGAATATGAGATATATGTTAGAGGAAGAGATTAGTTTACTAACGGAAAAATGTATTGTAAACCGGTATTTGTACTTCACAGAGAGAAGACAACAGGAGTTGAAACTTTCAAATGTGCTGTGATATAATCAAACAAATAGGGAATGCGAATGTACACTTTACTAAAAATGCACTAAAAATGAATATTCTGATTGCTGACAAAAGTATTATTCACATGATTAGTATGATATAGCCATTTATTATTGTCCGAAGGCAACAATTATCTTACGGAAATAAAAGTAATGGATTCTAATGGATTTCTAAAAAAAATAATCTACTCTCTTGTCCCTTTTATTATTCATTCAGCATATATTGTCTATGGCATTTACAGTATTTTAAAGAACCTGTATATAGATATATATACTTGTAATATGCATATATATATAATGCTTTTCTAGTAAAGGGAACTTTATCTGCATAAAATTTATTCTGCTTTTCTGACAGATTCAGATTATTTGTACCTTTTGCTAAACTGTACTTGATAGACGACTAGTATAAATTGGTTATGTAAAGCCGTTACAGTGTCTCCAGTTTGTTACTTGTGGTAATTCTTTCAGCTCATCACACGAACAGTTTTTAAAAACTAAATATAAATGAACACAGTCCGAAACAGTTTCACTTACAAGTAATGATGATATTAAAAGACGATTGTTTTTCCTTCGTAGTAATACAGTGTTCCGAGCGAAAAATAAGTGTAGATTTCCTGCAATTATACGTTTCCAGGAAATTTCTGAATTTCTTGTTAACTGAGACAATAAAATATTTTATGCAAACTATATCAGGTAGTAATAGTCTTGCAGAATGATTTTTTGTACTTAACTTATGGGTTGGCAGGCAATGATAACTAAACACAGAAATGAAAGACTCGCCAAACAGCGCTCTTTATGGTGTATGTGAAGTATCCGACTAACTCTACTGGGCTCCACTGTGTTGTTCAGTGATTTACCCTGCCCTACTATGTGGCTGTGTAACATAAGCACCAAGACTAGGTGTCGTTAGATTCAAGTATTTGGCTACTTGTGTTTCTTTAGCATTGATCCTGTTTGGCAGTACCACTGTTTTGGAAATATGGAAGTTACATCTGGATTATAGTTAAGGTTAAGGTAAGCCAACGGGGATGGTGTTAAGCTTGCCTCATCTTTGTTGACTGGTCATTGACATGTCGGCTGAAGGAAAGTGAAGGATTGACAGATTGAGATGGTACAAATCGATGCCTTTTATTTCTTAACTATGTAAGAGGGTGTAGAGTAAGAGACTGGTACCTACGTGACTATCTACATTTTTGTTGGAGATTGTAGATGATGTCGTGCAGAATTGACATTAGTAGCACAGATTAAATCATATTTTATGTTCATCTTAATCCTAGTGTCACATTTGGTCTTTTACTTTATCTTTCCTTGTTTCAATCCATAACTTTCTATTACCTTCAATTGTATATCTCTCATTTTTTTCATCTCTATTTCTTTCAATCTCACCTGCTTTAGAGGTAGGAAAATTCTAAATGATAGATAATTTTAAATAGTATGCTAGTAAGGTGCATCTGTCTATCCATCAACAGTTTTAAGTGAGAGTATGTGACCTGTACTCATTGTCTGCTGTTGTTAAAGCTTGGCGTGTTAACTCAGCTGGTACATTTGATTGGTAAGTGTCCACTGGTGGTGATCTAATCATAGTTTACTGATCAGTAAAAATAAACTCATTATTTACTCCTTGAATTTTTACTCTACTACTTTTTCGCAATGTCGGCTCAAGTTTCCAATATTTGTGTGTATATGGGGGGTTGGGATAAATGAGGAGGTACGTTTTTGTTTTCCAACAGCTTATGTTCTACAATATTAAGTTACCCTTACTTTATTTCTACTGATGCAATTCTTGTGATAAGATCATGCTTGGTTGAGGATGGTTTATCTCTTCCCAAAACCTCAAATTTGCAACTCTGATGTTTTCTAAGTGTCTAATAAAAGTATCGATTGTCCCATATTTGCTTAAGTATTCTTGTCTGTATATTCTGTCATAATCTGCTAGTAAAAAGCATTTGATGTTTACTTGATTCCTTTGTTATTAGATGGAATCTTAGAAGTATACAAGGATAATTCAATATTGGGACGAATGGAAGTCGGTCGTGCGTTTGGTGAATTGGCACTGCTTTACAACTGCAAGAGGACTGCATCTGTTCGAGGTAAGGTTTGCCTGGAATATATATGTATATATATAAGGTTTTATGCACACCACTTATAATTAAGCATTACATTTCGTTTGTAACTGATATCTCCTTACAGTATCAAGAAGATTAAGCGTCTACTAGATTTGTACAAAATTGTTTTGTAATGTAAAAGAAAGAATATGAAGAAGTATAGCATAAAATAAATGTCTCGTCTTGTTATCTCGCCAATAAAAGATGATAGACTGAGTGAGCGTTGTCTCCCTGAATAGTCGTAAATTGCAGTTTTCACAATAGGCTTGCATCGATTCATGCTGTTTCGCACAATCTACTTCTCCTGTTCAGCTCCTTAACATTACAGATGTATATGCCTAGATTACTAGGCCACTAGTATTCTAGCCGGTCCCAAGCCCGGATAAAGAGGGAGGGTTGGGGCGTGGTGCTAGCAACTCCACCCCCAAAACTTAACCAAATTGCTACTAAAACTTCAACGCACAAATATATTCAAAATTCTAAAATTACAAATAGTGACCTTATTTCTCGCTGGAATCGGGGAAGTGAAATGACGCAGGCTGGTGAAAGCCTTCGGGAAGCCAGTCAGCCGATGTGCCTTCTTTCGATGAGAGCAAAAATAAGGATGGGGACGTGGAATGTTCGTACAATGTACGAAGCTGGGAAGGCTGCTCAGGTAGCCGCAGAAATGAGGAGATATAAAATAGAAGTGTTGGGAATCTGCGAGAGCAGATGGAACGGATGTGGGAGGAGCCAACTATCAACTGGAGAGACAATAATCTACTCCGGTCACCCAGAGGACAATCACGAGCACACCGAGGGAGTAGCCATCATGATGTCACCAACAGCGGCTAAAGCTCTCATGCAGTGGGAACAAATCTCCTCCAGGATTATGACAGCCAGGTTCAACTCAAAAGGAAAGAAGGTTACAATCATTCAGTGCTACGCGCCTACAAACGCCTCAGAAAAAGAGAAGAAGGAGGATTTCTACAGTCAACTACAAACAGTAATGGACAACGTCCCAAAGAGCGATATCAAAATCCTGATGGGCGACATGAATGCGAAACTGGGAGGAGACAATACAGGAAGAGAACTCACCATGGGTCGTGAGGCCCTCGGTGAAATGAACGAAAATGGTGAACTCTTCTCAGACTTCTGCGCCTTCAATGATTTGGTGATTGGTGGCAGTGTGTTCAAAGACGGGGATATACACAAGGCGACATGGATTTCACCAGATGGACACACCAAAAACCAGATTGACTTCATTTCAATCTCAAGGAAGTGGAGACGGAGCCTACTGGACACAAGATCGAGGAGAGGAGCAGATGTGGGTTCAGACCACTATCTAGTACAAGGGACTTTCAGGGTGAAGCTGAAAGCCTCGAGGATACCTGGGGACAGGCCACAATGCAAGTTCAACACGCAAAAACTGAAAGACACAACCACAAAGGACACTTTCACTGCAACTGTCAGAGCAAAGCAGGAAACACTACGTGGCACCACCGAGGAATCATCCGTGGAAGACCATTGGAACTCTCTGAAGGTAATTTTCAACGAAACGTGCTCAACGGTTTTAGGAAGAAAGAAGAAACAAGACAAGGAATGGCTCTCAACAGACACTTGGAAACTAATAGAGGAGAGGAGAAAGGTGAAAGAGATAATGATTCAATGCAAAGATGGACAAGAGAAAGAGACGCTGAACTCAACTTACACAGCACTGGACAAAGAAGTGAAGAAGAGTGCCAGGAAGGACAAAAGACAATTCTACGACAATCTGGCTACTGAAGCTGAGAAGGCAGCAGGCAAAAGGGACCTGAGGACACTATATCAGATAACCAAGTCTCTATCCGGGAAGAGATCAACACAATTGAAACCTATAAAAGACAGCCAAGGGAACCCAATTACCAAGGAAGAAAGATTAAACAATGGGCGGAACACTTCAAAGGACTCTTGAATCGACCACCACCTACAACCCGTCCAGTAATACCAACAACAGCACGTACACAACTGCAAGTTGACACCAATCCTCCAACGAAAACTGAAGTCTTGAATGCAATCAAGCTTCTGAAAGCTGGAAAAGCAGCTGGACCAGATGGAATACCCCCGGAAGCACTGAAAGCGGACCCAGAAACGACAGCAGATATGCTGACTCCATTATTGCAAAAGGTCTGGAAGGAGGGAAAGGTGCCTACAGACTGGAGAAAAGGTTACCTCGTGAAACTACCAAAGAAGGGCGACCTGGGACTCTGCAAGAACTGGCGAGGAATCATGCTCCTGTCGACGCCAAGTAAAATTCTGAGTCGCATCATCCTGGAGAGAATAAAGGACGCACTGGATACAGAACTCCGACCAGAACAAGCTGGATTCAGGAAAGGCAAATCATGTTCTGACCAAATTGCAACTCTACGCATCATCATCGAACAAAGCATGGAATGGCAATCAAATCTCTACCTCAACTTCATAGACTTTGAGAAGGCCTTCGACAGCGTTGACCGCGAAGTAATTAGGAAACTACTCGAGTACTACGGCGTACCCGAAATATTCATCAACCTTATTTAACAGCTGTACGACAACGGCACATGTCAAGTGATCCACAACGGAAAACTCAGCGAAGCGTTTGGAGTAAACACAGGAGTCAGACAAGGGTGCTTATTATCACCAATGATATTCCTAATTGTGGTGGACTGGATTATGCGTCTGACAGTGGGAAACGAGAAGACAGGGATATCCTGCCCTGACCGACGTGAAGAACCTAGAAGACCTGGATTTTGCGGATGATTTATGTTTGATGTCACACAAAATCGAAGACTTACAAGCAAAAACCGACAAACTGGTCGAAGAAGCAGCAAAGACAGGACTGCAGGTGAACATAGACAAGACGGAGGTTATGAAAATAACTAACCAACCAACAACAACAGCAGCAACATCCAACGCCAATCACCATCAACGGGAGGGATTTGAAAGAGGTTACTTCTTTCACTTATCTAGGGAGCATTGTCTCAACCACAGGAGGGACGGACGAGGATGTCAAGTCGAGAATCGGGAAGGCGAGAAACACATTCATCAACCTGAAACCAATCTGGAAATCTTCGTCACTCAGCATCAACAACAAAATTCGGATTTTCAATACAAACGTGAAGTCAATTTTGCTATACGGATCAGAAACTTGGCGGGTCACCAAGAATATTTTCAACAGGTTGGAGACCTTTATCAACAACTGTCTTCGCTCCATACTGAAGATTAGATGGCCGGAAAGAATCACCAACAAGAAGCTATGGGAACAAACGAAACAGGAACCAATCGCCCAACAAATATGCAGGAGGAAGTGGAGATGGATTGGACACTCTCTGAGGAGGCCGTTGAGTGACATCGCGCGTCAGGCCAACGCTCGAGTGGAACCCGAAAGGGAAGCGGCGAGTGGGACGTCCAAGGGTGACATGGAGGAGATCGTGTGAGGAGGAGATGAAACAGTATGGAATAACATGGACGCAAGTGAAAAGTACAGCACAAGACAGAAGCAAATGGAGACGTGCAGTTGAAGCCCTATGTTCCACTAGGAACCCAAGGGAACAATAATAATAATAATGCTGGTGCAAACAATTGTTTCTCAGTGGGATATATTATCCCAATCCCAAGCATAAAATGTAGTTTAGAATAGATTTCATCCATGACTAATAATAAGAGCTACGCAATCTTGAACTATGACTTCATTCCATACTCAGATTCTTCGACAGTGCACTTTTCACGAGCTCACAAGTTATAGGGTTACAAATTTTCAATGATCTTAGTGGTATCGTCTCATGACAAAGCTTAAATTGAGGTCAATAAATTCTTTTGTGTAACAAAATGTTAATAGTATACGACTTTTGTTCTTTTTTTATTAGCTGTAACAAACGCTTCAGCATGGACGCTGGATCGACGTGTTTTTCAGCAAATTATGATGGCCTCTTGTATTCATAAACAAGAGGAGAATATGAAGTTTTTGCAAAGGTAAGTAATAGCTAACCGAGCTCTATAGTTATGCAAGGTATATATTGATACAAAGCTTATATATTACACAAGCATGACGATCATAAGTTGTGATTAGACCCAAAGTAGCATGTTGCAACTTATTAGAATTTTCTGTTGTTGGCCTGAAGTGAAATTGCAGTCGATTTGCTTGTTCAATTTTGTAGATCAACAGGTTGCCTCAAAGGTTTTTTCAATTTAGATTACTCTCTGTGAATCATTTAAAAATAGAAGTTTATGGTGCTATAAATAATACCAATAATAATAATGATAATAAAATATCGCCATTAGTAATTACCTGTAATCCTTTTTGGAGTGCCAGATGTGATTTTAAGTTTTAGAATAAAGCGTCTAAAGTGAAATTAGACTTAGTTGGTGTGATTTCAACGAAACTCAGAGGTCTTAGCTTGAATGAAACCTATTTGTGTTCTAGCAGCAATTGTGTGACTTTTCATATGAATAATGTGGATGAATAATTTTCACAGTAATAATAATAATTGTAATGGCCTCTTAGCTTACTCGGCAGAGCTCTGAGGCAGTAGAGTTCTGAAACTTCATTCATCAGTTTATCACATCAAATGTGCGTGAGAACCTAAGCGAATATCAGATAATCTGATTAACAGCTCCCAAATTTCATACTTTCTTCTTTATCTTCACCTTTTTTTCGAACCGTTACGTAATATGCCTCTCCGTTTATTTTATACTAGAAAACTTATTCAGCCACATAAACCGGACAAATTTTTGTGATAAACAAGTAGGAAAACAACAAACACTATTTTGTCATCTGTTTCATTTAAAGCAAATGGTTGTGCTGTTTAGTGTTGGGTTTGTTAAAGGCGGCAAATGGCCTTTCACAATGTACTTCTGCCGACTAGTTAAGCCGTTCGATAATTGAAGTATGCAGCAAAATGAATCATCCTACCGCTTTTACAACCCTTATATCAGCAACCAGTCCATGCATTAAAGTAAAATAAATGATGGTGATCTATTCAATACTTCATTCATATGCAATTATCCATTCCCTGTTCTAGAATTATTAAAATTGCTACTGTAGGCTGGTAAAATAAGCCATTCAAAGCTGAGTCACTTGGTTTTAATTATATACTGAAAAAAGAAAGAAGTAAATTAACTGAATTTATGTTGTTGCTCAGGGTCCCGTCTAAGACACACGTGAAATATACAATATAGCACAAAATAAAATGAGCAAGCTACTTTTTTTGTCAAACGAGATAAGCGTGCGTAGTAAGTAATATAAGTAGGCAAGATGACAAATTTCCGAGTTCAAACTAATCCACGTATGTGTGTATTTGGGTATAATCAGCTTAAAAGAGGGTTCAAAAGACCATAATTATGACTATAATGGCAACAGTAATTAAAAGTAAGAGATTTCAGTACGAAACCACGTTTCATATTAGACCTGGTGAAATCCACCGTTTACACGTTCTCATTCTAATTCAAAAATTCAGGTAAGATAATAAATGACAAAATGAACAGAAAATAGTGTGTCAAATGAGATAAATTTTAAATAAATGATTTATGTGCACATTGTGTTTAGAAACCAAAACTGAAAGAGCCGATGGATGGAATTTACTTAGTAGTGGTTTTTATTAATGGTGGTCTTTTCTGTCGAAACTTTCGATATCATTTCTCTGTCTTTCTTATTGTCAGTTGACATAAATAACTTTATGCTCTAAGCCTCTACCTATAAGTATCCTACTTTTCTCTAGCAGAAATTAGTTTCCCAGCATTAATCATGAGTGATATCGGTATTGTATTTGTGGAATGACCATTTTGTCAACAGGGTGAATTCGTTACTTTTTGTCTACTTATGGCCTACATATAGGTTTCACATACGAGGGAGATTCATTTGTGGCCTACTGTTAGTTCTGCATGCTTCAATGAGGCAAGCATTAACGAATTACACTTTCGAAGTATGAATGTATACGTATGCATCTTGACCTTCTTTCAGAAGTTAACAGTCGTTAGAATCTATCACCCACTGCATCTGTACTTGAAGATTTTAAGTTTTAGTTTCATGGCAGTTATCAGAAGGAAACCAATAAGGTTCCCTATAATATTTTGAGCTGCATGCACACTAAGTATCCTTCAGTTTGCAGTATTTATTCAAGCGACATTGGCTTGTAGGAAGATTTTAAATCATTAACGAAGAATAATTTAGCGGATGGGATGCATTCGACAGGAAACATCAACAACTTACTTTCACATGACTAATGACTTATTAAATTTGAAGGATGCTTTTCATATGATGATTGAATTCACATGAAATAACAGTGAAAATTTGAGTCGCCTGTGAGTTTGTTTAAAATCCTTAGGGAATTCGACCCTGTTTATTTTATATATTTATCACTGAATAAATTGAATTTGAAAGCATACTTCAGTGTTTCAATTTTTTCTTCACTTTTACTAGCACTCAATAGTTATTTGGTATGCTAGTTGAAACATCTTTTTTTCTTTCTCATTGTGAAGTTTTAATTTGCTGTAGTAACATATCTCATGGATACAATCAGATCTTATTTAACTATTGAGTCAGTGACGATTTGAATGATTTGTAGGCAGACTTCTTTACCAGCCGCTCAGAAAATCGGACCCGATGAGATGTGTTTTCACTTTAGTTTAGAACTCTTTAGCAGTACAGGATCCCTACACTAGTGAAGAGTCTCAGGTTAGAATGAATAGGCTGTTTACTGGACTGTAGTTCTCGATGGTTCTTCTAGCTTTTTTCAATTCTAGAAGAAGTCTTCAAAATTTAAATATCTCTAATTATCTTAGTTAAGTTTGTAGGTGTTAATTATTTCACCTCATTAACCAGTGTTTATTTTCTGCTACAAAATTGTGACTTACTTCTCCTGGATATTGGTCAGTTATTTCACGTGTTTGCAGCATTATGTTTAAGGTGGAATATATTTTCAAGGTTTGTTAATAATTATAACGTCCAGTTATAATTTTCACAGTTTAATGGGCTCTTTTGGTTACAACTTGAATAAGTGGACATAATTTGGAACTAGATGAAATTGCTTCAAGCTATTATTGTAATTAACTATGGAACAATTTTAGCCAAGTATTTAACTATCTTATAGTGAACATATTTTCTTTTCTTATAGTTGCTAAATTTGTCTTGCCATTTCAGAGGTTCATATTTAACTGGTTGGTACAGTCTATACTGTACTAACGTATTAAGCCTGATAAGTTGTTTTAAATACTTTTATGTTGAGAATGGTTTTTATCAACGTCTAGTTTCACAGAAGGATGTGGTCTTCCTTTCATTCACCTACCGGATTAGTTACTCACATCCAGATAAATTAGCGACTGGTAAACTTTCAGCACAGTTACTGGGGCCTTGTTTGATTTTCGCTAGCTTTTGCCTTTTTTGCTTGTTGCGAAGATTGATATTCAGCAATGCCTTCTATGAAATACAGTAAGTGGGCTTGTATAAGTTTACTAGCATCTTTTAACAAGTCTCACTATTCGTCGACGTAAATCTATTGATAAGGTTGCGTAGCCATTCTAGGTAGTTTCAATATTTATGACTAATTGTTCAGTTCCTGCTTAAAAATGGCTAGATAAAAGTATCACTCTATAGCAGTTGGAGTTGCGAAGTGAAGGGTAGATTTTGTGTTTGAAGTTTAGGTAACGAATAAGACTGACTGGTTTTCAGTGATTCATCTTTGTTCAAGATTTCGTTAATTTACTTTTTTACAGTTTAATTACATATCTCAAATTGTCCCTGTAAAATATTTTTATTTTAGATATTTATCAATCTCCATATGGTTATATTTATTCTTACTGACTTCGTCTCACTACACCTATGTAAAACTGGTCAACGTGAAGAACTATACAGTTATACAAGGTTTCACCTTGGTGACAACATTTTAAACTATGTGTATAAAGCTTTAAATGAGGTGTAAGGAAAGGAATTAGTGCACGAAACCCAGGCATTAGTTTGTTGCTTCTTAATTATCAGTAGTTGCTCAATCAACAGTTGTCAACAGCATTCAGATAAGACTGTGCTAATGTCGACCACGATTTGTGCAATATTCAACGCTGATTTTTTGATTTTCCTTAGCATATATCAGTGCCATCATTATTATATATAAGATGTTATGCTTTCTCGTATAATCTTCCGCTGAGATAATAATAGGCGCGTAATACTAATTTCTTCATAACAACCTGCTTCTATCGCAAAGTGTGAAGTTAAACTATTTTGATCTTTAGCAAAATATTTAAAAAAATCTTAATATGGAATGTAGTAAATATGATTTCACCTTTATCACTCAGATGTCTTACTTGGTATTTAGCATAAGATTATTAGTTTTGAGACTACTGGTGAATTCACTTGCACTTGGAAGAAAGCGTTTTGAAGTGATTTCACTGGTGAATCAGAGTTTTCGTTGAGTTCTGAGACAAAGGTCTTCAAAGTGTACTATTAAAAAACAACATTAAACAATGGAAAAAGTAAAAGAAATGTTGAAAATATTAAGAGAAAGTCTAACAACTTAGTTAAAAATGCTAAGAACCAGTGGATGGATATAATTGATGACATGACCCAAAAAGGATTGCGGTACAGTAGATGAGTTCATGGTTTCCCACTTTGGAAATTGCTGATACTCATTCAATTCACAAGTATTCTACTAGTTTTAATCACTACATTTTCACTCACTACTGATTTGTATGCTGTTATGAAGCAGCTTTCTGCCAGATTCCGCGTTAGACTATTTACTTGTCTATAAATATACAGCGTAGTGACCTTTAAAATGCTTTCTACAACTAAATATCCTTAAGGTTTTTAAGTAATTCTAAATGACTACTTATTATATTTTACGGAGAGCACTCAACATATTTGCATTTCAGGTATCTAGGAATATGCGTTAACTTGCAAGACTGTCTTTATCGCTTTAAAAGTTCAGTTAGAAGTGTATGATGTACATATTGCGAATGTGTTGGTGATTGCTTGTTTCTAATATAAAGCCGAATAAATTACTAAACTTGATTAATTTTAAACTGGTAACCATACACTGACATATGAAGTGAAGATAAATTGTATTTTTCTTCAGTGAATTAATGGCTCAACGAACAAGTGTCAGAGTGATATCATATTTGATCCAGAGCTTGAAGTCTTTGACCGCTCGACAGGCATTAGTTCTAGGGTTCAAGACGTGCTTTTCGCATGTTTCAAACATCTCACTGGGGTCTGCGTATAACTCGGTGAGCTATAGTACATTCACTGACGACCGAATGTGGTATTAATGACCAGCACAAAGCAACATTAAGTCCTATTGCTATGAGGCAAATATGAAAATTTCTTTACTGATATAAGTATAAAACTTGGGCACTGTGGTAGAGCATAACTCCATTATGGATAAGATTGTATTTTGATAAATCACACAGTGTTGTACAGTAATATTAACTGATGACGTTTCTAGCATAAGCTATTGCTCATAATTATATCATAACTTGATATGATTATGAGCAATAGTTTATGCTCGAAACGTCATCAGTTAATATTACTGTACAACACTGTGTGATTTATCAAAATAAAATCTTATCCATAATGAAAAGTGCTTTATCTTTTCAGTTCACTCAAATAAGTAACAGAGAGCCAACAGTATAAGACAACAATATTAAGGTTTCAATTGGTTGGTATAGAGTGTAAAGGGGATGATGAGTTTTGAGTGTCATTCACGATTTTCACGCATGGTCAATGTGATAAAAGTCCTCGTGGAAAATTTTTAAGCTTATTTCTACTTATTCCACCATCACAAACATACTTTTTTTGTATATTCATGTCTCACATATCACTAGCTTTTACTTGAAGTGGCCATACTGTGTGTACATACATACGCATGGATGAGATGGCAATCGTACGCATAAGTGCGTATTAAATGGTTTTGAAGCATCATTAATAATAGTAGAACTGATAAACTCTTATATCAGGTGAATTAACAGGGAAAAAACTTTTAAAAGGTATTTCACTAATACTTAAGAATGATTAGTATAGTACCTGTAAAAGTATTTCTTACCTTCAGTGCTTCTAAATACTTTTGCCAAATATTCTCTCAAACTTTTCATTTTACGCCAACGTTATTATTTTCACTCCAATTCTAATTGAAAAGGTGTTTTGCATTTTTTTATGAGTATACCAATGTAATTTTTCATCATACGGCTTAGTATAGAAGCTTGACGGTAACTGTAGGTTATTGACTGACTTATGTGAAGCTTCAAAATGGAACAGTCAATATATATATACATATATATGAAAACCATTATACTAATTAGAAAGAGATTGCTGTCTGTTATGAAACATGACAAGAATAGATCTTTCAATGACAGTCTCTATGCAACAGAAATTCCAGACCTTGGAAAATAATCACACAGTCTATTTATGACGGAGGCTTAGTTTTGGTAGTTAAATATTCAGATATGAATTTTTCAAAAGAATGGTTACTGAACAAAGAATATTCTTTTCGATAACTTCATCATCAGGTTCTACAGTTTTATATGCATGATAGTAAATGAAATAGTGCTATTAACAACATTAATGTTGTTCAAATAACACCGAATCAATAATAATATCAATGGATTACAGTCTGGTAGCATCAACATAACAATATACTGAGTATCACAATTCGCCTTCAAAAACCGGTGCTATGTGTTCAAAAGAAGCAAGTCCAGCCACTACTACTGCCCTGACTGGCCTTCAGTGAAGACTATAAATTCATCAGTGTGTATTACTATTATTTCTTCTAATTTCTCTGATACTCAGTATATTGTTATGTTGATGCTACCAGACTGTAATCCATTGATATTATTATTGATTCGGTGTTATTTGAACAACATTAATGTTGTTAATAGCACTATTTCATTTACTATCATGCATATAAAACTGTAGAACCTGATGATGAGTTTATCGGAAAGAATATTCTTAGTTCAGTAACCATTCTTTTGAAAAATTTTAATGGGCATTTTTAATCATATATGAATTTCCATGCCATCCTGTGATTCTTATTAAAAAGTAAGTTCGAGAGAGAATCAATAATCTAACTAATTAACATACAGCCGAATGAAAAAATCAACAGTTATTATTTTGTTCTGATTAAGCGATTTCTGTACTCAAAGATATTCCATTTTAAAACTAAGCATAGTCTATTCACTCAGAATAATACCATATCATATGATTTTATTCTGGGAAGGAAATTGTCTGTAAAAGTAAATGTGTATGAGTGTGTGCGTGTTTGTGTTTCTCTGTTAATAATGCCTGCGTGCCTTGAAATAAAAAAAACAGTGCACGTTAGATTGCGAAAATTCTTTTTTTACCTTGGAAACTGTCGCTTTTGTTTGCTGAGTTAACAGAAATAAAATGTGGGTTTTTTTCTAGCAGCTCGCTTAAAGAATAAATTAAATTATTGCATTTTTGTGATTTGAAGATTGTTATTTTCGAAGCGATACGCCTCCTGTGTATATATGGTATTCTAAGTATGCATTGTTTATCAGTAGTGAGTGCATATCGATTGAATATGCTGTCGAAGTAGGCGAAATAAAACCCCTTTTGTCTCATTGAACAAGGTGAATCGTTCCAATCTCTTTAAGTAATTATGAATTGTCAACTCTTCAGTTACATAGGTAAACTTAATAGTCAGTATTCGATCGAGTGAAATGATTACTTGTCCATAACACTTACAACACACAGGGAATCGTCAAAAAGTGAGCATCATTAGGTACCTACTATGCTTTAATCGATGACTGTTTGCTTAGCTTTGTGTGTAGTGAAGATTCACAATAACTAATGATGAGATGAGATAAAAGGTCCAGTTGCTGCTTTTATCTACGAAAAATATGAGTTGAAGTGGAGTCAAGTTAACAAACAATGATCAGATGGAAACATGACTTGAAGTTCATGAAGTTGATGAGTACCAGTCTTAGGTATATGGCAAAGATGTATACTGTTTAATTACGATCCTCACGATTCTAACCTACCATCTTAAAAGTATCTTAGCGGTAGTTCTAATTCGTTAGCAAATTATCAAATTCCTTCATCTTCCCAGCATTTCGAAAAATTTTCATTTAATCATTGTCTCTTTCAGAATTATGCTTGTTCATTATTATTCTTGATTAGACACTAGTCAGTAACTAGTGTGATATATCCAGTCCTATCTTTGCTCAGTGGAAACGTCTCTGAAACGTCTCTCACAAGGGACATGAGTTCCTCCGAGGTTGCAGGCAAGCTTTACTAACGAGTACCAATTAGCACGAAACCTCGGTCTAAGACTCCCTGCCGATTGCCTTCAGTCATCTAATACCAACAATTCATTATTATTCTGTTTGTGTTTATTTCACTCTTTTTTCCTGAAACTCTGAAAATTACTATTCTACACTGCACTATATGGGTTCGTGAATGCATAAAAGAACTTCAAGCATACTCAGAAGCAATAGTACCGTGTGCATAAAATATTGATAAATGAGACGGCTAAAATTGTTTGTTTTCTTCTCATTAGACTCGTATAGCTAATCTAACTAAGATTAGTAAATATTAGTGAGTTGGGGAGGTAAATTAAATCTCTCTTCTGTATACGATGAGTTCATTTTCTCACTAGTGTCCTGAAAACACACTGAAATATTGTAAGAATGTGATGGTTGTCAGTGATTTAGGTGTTTTTAATGTCAAAGTTCACTATTATTCAAGCTATGATTGAGAGTGAAAGATAGTATTTAACTTTTGTTCCAGTCGTTGTAGCTGATTTTAACCAACAACCCTTATCCTTGAGAATTTAACCGATTTATGAGGCTGTAAACTTTAATCTACAGTAACGTGAAGAATGATACCTGATATTCTTTGCTGTGTATGCTTACTTGCTTATCCCTTAAGCTTGCAGGTGCACAGACCAGTTTTGAATTAATGATTTAGGAGAGAATGGCTGACAGTTTTCACTTCAGTCAGCTTTCTAAGGTCCAAATGCTCAGTAGGTAGTGATAGCAATAGCATCTAAAATCTCTCTAATCTCTAATTGGCAAACAGTATCCTCCTTAAATACTAATACCGTTTCATTCCCTTATTTGTGTGAATATTACATTAAGAATTTACGCGCTTATAACGTATAATGCTTGCAAAATAAGTTGCTTAAATAACCAAAGCTGTTAGTTAAACCATATTTTCTTCCACTTATTCTTGTTTTGCTCTTTTCTCCACAAAGTGTTCCTGCGCTGAAAAATTTATCCGCCGAAAAAATGAAAAAATTAGCTGATGTCTTAGAACCAGTAAGTTTATAAGAAAATAAAAATGTTGATAATAAACAATTTTTAACGTATGAAATCAATATCGTATGTAAAGTACATTTCAAATTTAAGGTGAATTTAATTATCTTTTTGTTTTTCTCTCTCTGAAAAGATGTTTTCATTGTAATTTTAATTAGATTTATTTATAATTTTATTAGGATCACTTGCTAACAAGCATACTTGAATGGACGATCTATAAATAAGAGTCACTGGGATAGTCGTCATTGACTTTAAATCATTCAAACGGTTTCTAATTCACTTGTCTAATGGTTGATTACAATAAGAAAAAAAGCTGACGACTATGACATTAACAGTCAGATGGTCTTCTTCGGAAACCGTTTATCATTTGTGTAGACACAATCTACTTCTGATGCATAACTGTCACTGTTCAAAAGTGGTTCTTTTCGTACACTTTATTGGCTGATATGCTGTCAGATAGGTGGATTACTGTTCATCTCAGGTGGAGTCATTTCTCCGCTGATTTCAGTACTCGAATTTTCAATGGAGAACTTCTGTCAAATGGTAGTCCTGTTGATCGCCCAGCATTTCACTGTTGTAGAGTAGAGCTTTCGGTGTGAACTCAGGAGTTACCTTCAGTGTTACTGTCCCAGGAAGTAAATTTAGCACATTTTTTAAAAATAAAAGCGATAATTTGTATCTCAGGTGGATCTTTTATGGCTGCGTTCTCTGGACTGGATGTTTCAATTGAGGAGATCTCGCTGTCAACCACAATGTGAATTTAAGAAGTTTACTTTTTTAATTGGCCTAGTATTTTAGAACATGCTTCTTTAGCTCTTAATTGTGGAATAAGTGTCTCTTTGGTATGAATTGTTGAGGTGTTGTTGTTGGGTTGGACACTGCGGTTCACTTAAAATCGGTCGACCTTTGGTATCTTGCGGAATATGTAATGCATAACACTACTCAAGATCGTTTTACTATAGAAGCATTCAGACACAAAGCTTACATGTGACTAGTTTTTATGAACCTACTAACTAAGTTTTCTTTGAAGGACAGTCAGATTTTTCACTACAAATTGAGTATTGATGCCTACTGCCTATCTGACATTGGCAAGAAGTAGCGAATTGTATGCAGCTGAGCTGTCTCATGAACACAGAACTTTTGCCGTATTTGTATCCAAATTATATAATATGCAAGGGGAGTTCCGTGATTAGTGTGGTTTAGCCTCGACGTTGTACTCCAATGAAACATATGTGAAAGGAATAAATGACCTTCAGCAGTTTTAACACACAAACTGGTAGTAGCTTAGGAGATCTATTTTTCCTTATAAATTTACGCAAGACAATGAAGAAATGCAGTTCACCTGATTTGTGTAGTGTAAATTGGGCATCTGACCATACGCATTCCGTCTGTCACAGAAATTTGTGCAGAGTAAAGTAAGACACGAAGTGTTTGAGATATATTAAAAAGAGGGTCAAATCACCCATAAATTAGCAGAATAAATTAAGAAAAGTAGCAAGTTATAAAATATTCTGATCACGTAGTCTTCAGTCACATTCTGTTTATGCTTATTTGAATATGTAGATTAATATGATGAAAAATTCAATTAGGGAAATTACTTTCAATGAACACATTTTCAAAAGTGTTCCGCTGTGTATATGTGATAAGCTATTAAAATGGAAAAAACGCTTATTTTCCGCTGAGAAATACACTTAAGATAGGTTTCTGTCATAAAATGTCAAACACAGGCCCTAAACTTATGACAAAACAATTTACTTTGAAAGTCAGAGTAATAGGGATTGTTGATGCAGATGACAGTGGGATGAAATATTTGGCAAATGAAATCAGATTGGGGCATGGTCACTATTTTTATCATGGCTCATCTAGTAGTGTAGTTCAAATTGTGCCTAGATTCAGGTTTCCTGTCTACTTTTCTCACTGTCTCCAGTAGATGCAAGCTGGACTATGAAATTTATCCTATATTGGTTAGTCTATAAGACACGTGTTCAGTAGTAATCACTTCTTGTAGTGTCGCCCTAATTAGGAAAGAGTCAGCGAAAATTTACAGTCGATAGTTTAAAGTAAGAGAAATGATAACGTTTTAAAACCATTCGAAATTTCTGCAAAAGACTAATAAAAAGTAGTTGATGTTTGAAAATTCGCAACTGTTTTATAAACAAACAAATAAAGGTGTAGTAACGAATGTGTAATAGTTGTCACTTTGAATAGCGAGACTTCATTTCTTTTGTAATGCATAGCAGGTGTACGGTTACAACTTTTAAATAAACTCTAGGTTAGTACTTATATGGAATATCAAAAGCATTATCTAGCACTGAATTTTTGAACATTAAGTGTTTTGCAGAATAAATAATATGCTTGAAGAAGGTTATACGACGTTGGATGCTGTAGAACAAAGTTTTGATAAGCACTGGGGAAAAAACCTATTCATTCGTTTTTACAGAACCAGATGAAATGGGTGGTGTAAACCGAATTACCCAGATGTCATAGTGTTTTGTCACATTTTTTATCACTCAGCTTGTTGTGTCTGTATCATAGTGTGTTGATGCTCCTAATGAAATTTAAAAGCCAATATCTATGACTTTAAACACCATACTATTATTGCTTTTGCTACTGACTTTTAGTAGCAACTGCCTGTTCAAAGGCTGTCACGTGTACAAACTACACTGACATAATGGCAACGAATAATGAAACTTAAGAAGTATGTACAGCAATAACATATGTTTTGTAACGATGACATGAAAAATACATTTCCATAACTAGAATTATTACACAGAAAAGAATGTTTTTTTTTGCGCTTATATCTCTTTCTGCATGGTTGTTTTACGATTTCATTGTGTATATGAATGGAAATATTGCTGTTAATTATCGGTCAAACTAAGACATCATTAAGTTACCAGAAAAATTTCATACAGTGGGTGTGAAAACTGTAGTTAGTAATTGTAGACTTGGTAACCAGATGCCTCTGGTTAGAATCCCATTCCAGTAATAAACAGAATTAATGCAATGTTGGACTAAGAGATCAAAGCAGCCTAAGGAGTACGAAAAGAAAATATAATGCAGAAAATGCGGCATATAAGTGAAGTCTTGCCAATTAACAACTAACCGCATAAATTTATCCAAAAGTATATTAATTATAAGAATAAGACGACTGTTGAGGATAGCATGCACACTAAATATTCACGTAGAGAATGACATCAACAAGAAGAGGAAATTTAAAACATTCGTAGAGCATTCATGTAAAGAAATAATATCGGAAACTTTGGTAGTAATTTAACAGTGCAGAGATGAAGTTTCATTTGAACCTGCAAACTAACTTAGAAACATTACATTGGTTACAGGATCCTGTCGAGTCTGCTAGATAAAATTATTTAGTTTTTCTAACGCCATGTAATGAATAAAGGTTCAGATACGGAGGTCAAAGTAGTACACCAGTGTCAGTTTGGTTATCAGAGCGTGAAGACTTGGAGAAATCTAGATTACTAAACAATGTTAAGATAAAAATCCAGAAGAAAGCTCGGCTCTAGCATTACAAACAGTTTCACGCAATCATACAGTAGACTGATGCACAGAGACAGTCCTGCAATCTTATGTGGCTGGATCAAAGGAGAGATGGATAACTGAAGATTTATTTATCTAAACAGTTGACAGTACGTGCAATAGGAGTGATTCTCCACCTACCTTGGACACCTGAGAATAAATGGGAAGAAAGAACGGAAAACTGTAAAAATCGATTTTCAAAGTTATGACTGTGAACAATAAACTGTGGTCATCCAGTATGTGGTACTGTTTCACTGTGACATATCAAATAAATAAATAAAACAATTACGGAATTACTTACTACTACAGTATCCAAGTTTTTCGCATATATTAAATATCATCTTTTCTCGTATATCAACTTTTATTTCTCATCGGTTTTCAATAGGTATTTTATGAAGCTGGTGAATATATCATACGTGAAGGTGAACTTGGTGAGACGTTTTTCATCATAAAGTCAGGGAAGGTAGGTGTAAAACTACTGTAAAAAAATGAAATGTATTTATTTATTTATGATGTACCACCTGAATATATATATATTGTTACATAGAAGTCATTAAGTGGCAATAGAATACAGTACTCCTAAAGTTTTATCATATACCTTCTGACAAGGTTGTGATCAGATGAAAAGTTGTAATGTTTGTCTGTTTTATTTTATTACTAAATTTGCAACACAACAACAAACCATTGAGTGTTATGAAAGTGTTCATGTATCTACACATTCATTTGTCTGCTGTTTAGGTTGGGAATATCATACTGTCTTCTTTTAGTAGTAACTAACAATGGAAGGAAAAGCATGCCTTCCTTCCTGTTTGTGACTAGTCAACCGACTGGATCTGCATCTCAGTAAATGGTGATGTTTCCACCTGAAGTCATTTACAGCACCTAAGCAAGCAATGGATTACTGAGTTACTAAAACAACCTGTTTTGCAATGCGTATTGCTCTTTTTTTCAGTTTTTACTTTAGGATCCGTTGCTCTTGACTTCACTGTACTGATTTCTTTTTGAAATGTAGACTTCATGAAATTGGACTGCATGTGCTTGTCATTGAGTAAAGAATACTAGTTTTATAGATACTGTCTAAACGCATCTCTCAGTTTCTTTGCCTAAGTAAAATATTCTGCAAACCCTTCAAAAATGGTTTGAGTCAACCACAAATATAGCTAGTATCACACTTTATTTTCTTCTTCTTCTTCTTTTACGAAGACAGCAATGATTTTTACTGTTGATATGAAATTATGCTGTTACTATTTGTTAAGAGTTCAGATAAATATATTTTAAAATTTTATCGGTAGTTAGCACTCGAATCTGTGATACACATTTCATCCTACTTGTAATGTAATGTACCTATCTAATGGAAAATGTATCGCTTTAAATTCGTAGTATAGTCGACTGGTTCATCACTTTTTCTAATTTAGAATTTATAAATTTCACCATATCCACTTGTTGGTGTTATTCACAACTAATGAACACTGTTGCTAATTAACGTGAGAAGAGAAAGTTTTCATTGGAAGCATCAGTAGCATATTTTCAGTATTCCATTGGCATGCTGTTTGTGGTTAAGTCGTTGTTTGTTATTCATTTTCTGCATCATTTTCTTTGTGTAATCTGTCAATCAGTGGAAAATTTGTTTGTAGTCTACTGTCAACCGTGATTATTGAGTGGCTCGATTTTGCTGTTACAAATTCTACTTTTTCACAAAAACAGTTTTTTGATTAAAAATAGTAGCAATAATTTACATAGCTCTCTTTAGTACAACTTAATTAATAAGCATTATTTAACATTTACTTCAATGGAAATTATATTATTAACTACATTGAAGCTGAGTGAACCTAAGGAAGACGTGTTCAAATGGTGTTAAATCTTTCACATCTGATGACAAGATGTTCTGAGTCTATGAACTTGCTGTAGCTTATTCTAACAGTCAATACGACTCTGTAAACATTGAAGGCGATACGAAACAAAACGACTTTGTATAGAATCAAAAGTAATTTAACTGTTAGCATCACCAGTTCTTTTGTGGGAAATGACTTGGTGAGTAAATTTCAAATAACAGTTGACGCTGAGCTGTTGTTATTCAAGCAATACCCTGGAGAGTTTGTTTGTGCTATAAAAGTGAGTTATCTTTCAACTCGCGCTACAATTTTGCTTACTTTTAGTGGCAAGAAGTTTTTTTGAACAGAAGGGTTTGAGTGTATACGATTATTAAATCACGTATTCGCAAAACTCTCAGTTCTATGTGAGATTCATTTTCAAGTATACTGGTCCACCGAAGTTACTGGCAATAATTGATGTAGTTTGTAGTGATTCAGGTGCCTAAGTTGAATTGGTCCAGATGCACTACTTATGTCATCAACCTAATTTAGGGAAAATGGCTATTAAGTATTAAGACGATCTTTTCTGGTTGCCAAGCAAGTGCATGGATTTTATCTACATGAATTAGTCAGTAGTTTATGTCATATGAGGATAATTTTGTTGTTCTTTCTACTGTCCATGGCTATAGATTACCATGGATAAGATATATCTGATATGAAATTTAAAGTTTTGTTCTTTCAAATAATAATAATAGTAATAATCTCAGTGATTTGAGCTTCGAGCTCATGAGAACGAACATACAATGAAATCGGTAGCAAGTCTTTGTGACTGTAGATTTACTCCTCTTATAGTTTGAATCATTTTTGGTTTATTTATTTCTGCTGGGAACGACTTTCTATCCGTAGAATTTATTTTCTCGATTTTTCTCAATTTTTATTTTCTCAATTCTGTATTTTGTCGGTGCGTCGATGGTTCGGCGGCGGAGTGCTGGCCGACCATGAACATGGTCCGAGGTTCGATCCCCGGCCAGCGCGCTGCTTTACCTCGCTAAGCCAGAAATAATGCTGATGAAGAGGAAAGGTTGGGCATGAGGCTAGCAACCCCATCCTGTAAAATAAGCACTGCTACAGAAACTTAAAGCCACCAGCTTGAAGCCCTATGTTTCACTGGGGAACGTGAAGGAAAAAAAATAATTAATCTTGTTGGCATTACTTTATGTAAGGGAAAAGTGCTTTCTTTTATCAGCTGTTACAGTTAGTCATTCTATTTATGCCATTCGGAAAAGTTAAAATAGTTGGACAAATAGTTTGTTGCAATCCGTCATTCTAGCTGTGCTGATGCACCATTCTGATCAGGGTTTTAATTATTTACTTGCTTTGTACAAGTTTGCGTTGATGTTATACACAATTAGAAAGTAGCAGTGACAGCTGACCTGGTTACAGTTTCTATCACTCTTATTTTGACTACAGTAACCGTCGTGCATGCCAACCATGCATGTGGTCCGGGGTTCAATCCCCAGCCAACTTACCCCTTTACCTCGCTTAACCAGTAATAAGACTGGTAAAGAGGGAAGGTCGCGCATGAGGCTAGCAACCCCATCTCGTTAAAATAAACACCAGTGCTACTGAAACTTCGAGCCTCTAGCTTGAAGCCCTATGTTCCACTGGGAACGTAAAGGAATCAAAAAAATAATTGGCAGTAATACCTTAAACGTTCTAGTTTGATGATGATTATTTTAAATAAAAAACAACCACCATCAAACTCTTCTTCCCATTGATAGTTGAAATGAGCTACTATTCTAGTGTAAGGAACGGTTTATATATGCTTGTTAAAGTCAACATTTTAAGGAAGAACAGACCGTTTGCATAACTCTAGCTAATAAAGTAACGATTGCACTGGACGAGTCAATGCAATTTGTAATGAGTGGTGACTACTTCTTCGCTTCAATGATATTTGTGTAAATGATACCAGTGGTAAATTCTGGCAACTTGATTTGTGCACTTTAAGCGCACAAAAGGTTGTAACAAGAATTAAAGTTGCAGAACAACCGACTGACTATTCACTGGCGCAAATTCCTTTCATTTTCTAAAAGTATAGTCAGACAGTCAGTACAGTGAACTATCTTGTTTAATCTGAATTGTTTCTTTCACACAGACAATCTTGTCCACAGATGGTTGCCTATATCTGTTTTACGGGGAAAAAACAGAGTATTGTATGAATCATCCCCATTTTCTTCTATCTATCCCTCGTTAATCATATCAGAATAAGTATACCGATCATTATGGGATAACTTAACTATGCAGTGACTATGTTTAATTATCACAACAATATTAAATCAGGGTTAGTGTTACTATATAATACAAAATAGTCCAGTTAATATAGAATATGAATACATGGTTGCAGTTTCCCAGGTGCAAGACGTTTTTTCACACTTTGTTAATAAACATGATAGAAAATGGATCATTTCTAATCTCATTAACCTAATCGATAAAATATATTAAAAAGGGTCTATTTGCTTCCTTTTATTTCATACTCTTCGTAGGTTATTGTTACTCAGACTGTCGAAGGAACAGATGAAGAACAAGAAATCCGTCAACTTTCTGATGGAGATTGGTTTGGAGAAAGAGCACTTTACACGTGAGATTTTAGCACTATGTATATATATATATATATATTTGTCAGTATAAGTGGACTGAAGTTAAAAACAGGTAAACAGGATCTGTTCCTTAATAGGAAACGGTCGGCTGATTAGAACAACAGTATAGTCTGCATTGTCAAAGTATATTTACATTGTTTACTAATATGTGGTGTTGATGACGACCAATACCACCACCACCACCACCACCACCACCAAGTCTCCTCTAAAGCCATAACAATTTTATCTGATTTTCAGAACGCTGTAATCATATCTGTGTCTGAGATCATCATATTAAATTATAAAGTCAAGCCATTTATGATATCAAATGATATGATATACTGTAGTTTGGACTGCATAGAGAAATTTCATACCCTATCGTTCAGTGTGGGGGGACCTATGATTTATAAAAGTACTAACATTTGAAAGCTTATGTTAACTGGAAAGTATTAATCTCAGGAATCATGTTACTGAAGATCCACTTGAATTTCAAATGCATTCTGTCCAGTGTCAAAGTTAAAATTTATTTTCGGATAGGACCGGATCTTCTCATAGCTTACTGAGACATATTTTTAGTTTCTGTCTGTAGGTATTCATTAATACAGGAAAGAAAATATTTAGGTTCAATGAGACTTGCTTCACACTGTTTATACAAAGTAATTTTATCTCTTTATCTTATCATAACTCTGCTGAATTATATTCTTATTTTCAATATATATATATATATATTGTTGTTGTTTTCAGATGTGAGAAACGAAGTGCCAATGTTATTTCGGCTGAGAGTGGTGTTCACTTACTTTTATTGGATAGAAGGTAGGTTATGTTGTATACTGAGTTTCTTTTTCTTGTTTGGTGTGGTTACTAGTTTAGCTGAGTAGCTTAATGATGGGATTAGACACCTGATAGATACATTTCAGTCATCACATTCAGTAGCAGAGTATTGCATTCATTACCATTCAATCACATACTCCTGCATATAGTTCGGTTTTTAAAGACTGCATTTTATCCTGGACAGCTTAGCTGTGAAACCTGGGAAATTGGTAGTGAGCCACAGTGGTTAGTGTCTCAGACAGGATAGTCTTGACGATGACAACCAACAAATAAAGTATCCTAGCGCTCAAAAGCGGGGGGTGTTATTGGTCAAGACCAAGTGGGTAAAAATGGTTGTATGATTACGCGATTCTGTTGGTTAATGTCAGTACAGCTTCAGCGAATAAGCACAGCAGTTTGTTGTATTCTACTCTCCTTTATCAAGAAGATTTTTATGTTGGTATATGCGCGTAAAGAGAACGGATTAAATATTGGATTAAGGCATATTAATTTCTTGATAAATTACTGTATGATGAATAGGTTTCTAGCACATTTAAAATATGATTTAAAATGAAAGGTAATGAGAGAATATCTGATAGAGCCAGCCGACTCAACAAAACTGTAACACTCTTCTTTACATACTTTTGTTTTATTTCTACTATTGTTATATTTCATGAGTTGTAGTCCATTTTACCGCTAGCAGTGAACATATTTTTGTCATCCAAACAAGTTATATATTGTTCCACTGAGCTTCATTTAGATATGTGATTTTTTTTCATTATCCGTCCAGATTACAAACCCTTGTGGTTTAAGTCACCCATCCGAAAACTTCTTCTTCGTCTAATATTATTAATGAGAACAAAATTCAATATTGCAGTACTAACTGTTGTGTTTAACTTGTGTCTGGGTCACTGCATATCGTTCACGCTGCATACATTATACTGCTAATGATCGGATGTTTTTTTGATTAAAAAAGTTTACTTAAGATTGTTAACAGATAGAAAAGTCTTTTCTATTCCTTCATCTGTTTGAAGTACTGGGTTAACTGCTGAAGGTTGTCATTTAGTTATAAACTGGAATCCTACTTTACGATAAAGATTTTAGCAATGAGATAGCATTATCATGTGTTTCACAACAGGCGTGCCTCATTACCAAATGCAAAAAACTGAAGTAGTCACTAAGAGTCAGACAGGAAAATCTGAATATTCTACCACCATAAAGAAACATTATCTTGAAGATCTGTTAAGGGTCGAAAACTGTACGAGTTTGTAAGCATTTGTATTAATATTTGGAGTGTTTCTTCCGACTTTTCCATATTATTGGTGTTTTAACTGTGATTATGAATTATTGATCGTAAATTGGTGTGTCGGTGGCACAGCAGTTAGGACTCTGTCCGGCCATTCAAATGGTCCGGAGTTCGATCCCTTGCCAACGCATACCTGATATCAATGGTCGGTTTGCAAAATTTGGGCTACCGATATCACATGCTGAAAATTCCATAGTTGTACCGAAAATACGGTGTGAAATCAAGCTATTATCAAAATAATAAAAAAATATATGCATAGAGCTTCTAAAAAGTTGACCATTACAAACACTCATACTTTCCCGTGATCAGACGACTGATGAATTTGTATATCAATGAAGTACGTAAATCTTTATTTCCTTATAAATAGCTAAGACTTTTATTATAGATAAGATTTTATTTTGATAAAGTCTCACAGTGTTATACAGTAATATTTACTGATGACGTTTCGAGCACGATCTATTGCTCATAATCGAAACGGCATCAGTATATATTACTGCATAACACTGTGAGACTTTACCAAAATAAAATCTTACCCATAATGGGGTTATGCTCTACCACAGTGTCCAAGTTTTATACTTATATCAGTAGCTAAGACTCTTATTGGCTTGTATGCAGCTGAAAAGAAAACGACGGCACACAGTAATGTCATCTGCATACTGCAAAATTTATTGCACTTACTATATTCAAAATTAATGTAGGGAATCGACTGCATGTTGATTTATCGGTGATTTCTTTTTATTTTCCTTAACTATTTTACAGTAATTTCATCTACCTTATTGGAGATTTGAATGAGATCAAATCAAAAACATATGGCGATGTCAGTCGTTCTCCTGTTGGGTAAGTTTTTATCCCATTTTGAAGCTGATATGTGTCTTTTTGTTTAAATGTGACATATTCAGCAGAAATTCTATAGTACTGAAAGTGGAAATTTTTTCATTTCTACTCTATTTTTGCGATACACTTCCTGCTTACACATTAAGCACTGTGATCAGTGTTTAATAATGAGGATGGAAATTTTTTTCTTAAATATATGTTTTACCCTTTTGTGATGATTTTATCTACTGGTTGTTCACTGTTCTGTGAGCTACGACAGCTTGTCAGCCAAAGTGAATTATTCAAGTTGTATAGCAAACGAGCGCTTATGCTGATAATGTACTTCCTACTTAAATGTATGAAGTAAAAGGGATCAAAGACGAAGACACCCTAAACGCTTAGTCAAGTGCAATAGAGTTACCAATCGGTTGTCGCATGCTCAAAGAATAATAGTGTAACATGTTTGCAAATAAACAATTTAGTAATCTTGATATTTTTAAAAGATACTCTCATTTTACTGTAAAGAACTAGTAAATAGATGGACAAGCTTGACTTCATCTTTCACACTTTAATCTCATCCGAGGAATCTCTGTTCAGTTTCTACGTTCATTATACAACTCATTATTAGTATTGTTTGCTTAACTGCCTAAAAAGTCTTGCCAGCTGCGATTATCATCATTCATACCGATATTAAACAAAATAATGTGAGGAACATTAATTAAGGCTTTAGTTAACATAAACAATATTTTGTAGTAAAAATAAGAATCACCTTACAAGAGAATATATTAACCTATTCTTTTTTCTGTTAAGAAAATAGCGAACAGTATGTAGTGCTAAGAATGATGGTTTCTTTATTGTGTGAGTCAAGAATAAAAATTAAACATAAAGTAACTAATGGTGCTATGCTCAACGAACTGGATAGTCTAATAACAAGGTTAGCAAGCATCATAAGCAAAGACGTCGAAGATAAGTCAGTTGAGGGAGTTCCTTTTCAAGCAACTTAATAAATTCTGATAATTCGAATTTTGATTGGTCATGTCATCAATTCTTTTCTGACCTGATCTTCGGTGTTACTACCATATTCAGTGATTGATAAATTGTGTCTTCATTTATACGGCTGATACTGTCAAACTGTTTTTGGTGAAGGAGTTTTAAAAGTGTCTACCTGTTTCAGCCATATCTGTCTAGAGTATTTGTTAAAATTTTCTTTAATACACGCTTATGTTTGCACAACTATTTGCATTTATGAAATAAGAATATTGAATAATGCAATTTATTGTACATATTAGAGCATCAAAATGTTTGTCCAATGTGGTATCAGCTGACTTTCAATGGGTTATTACCATTACTGCGCACATCCACCTGTTTGACGATACTGATTTATTTGTTTACTTCTGCGTACAGTGTAAAAATGTAACTATCAACTTTCATTTGCCCATATTTTATACATTTTAGGGTAATATCAACAAATTTTCAATCATCCAAAGAATCCTTACCGAAAGAAGTAACCATAAGTCCTCAGGCGGTTGTACGACAACAGTCAAAAGATTCCTTTTCGTCCGTTGAAATTGAAAAAGATGATTTGGAGCCGATTACTGTGTTAGGAGTTGGTGGATTCGGTTGTGTTGAATTGGTGAGCATCCAACTGACCTTTTATATGGTTAAAAGACTTGAGATTGAAAAATAGATTTTATTGTGCACATGAATCACCAAGTGGGCAGGTATTACTCTCGCTGTTTGTTGTAAAGTATGTTTGACTTTTTGTCGATATTATCGTGTGTTGGGGATTTCCTTACCTCTTGTTAATTACATGAGATATTCAAAGTAAAGTAAGATTCAGTGAGTATGCAGAAGAATGTATTCAATAAAACTGAAGTACAATATTAATTTTTAACTGTGTAGCTAATAAACTGACTAGACTCTTTGTCAGCTCTTATGCGAAACAAAGTGCATTGCTGGTTCGGCTGTAGGATTCTCGCCAACTACGAATGTTGCCCAGGGTTCGAACCCGGAGGATGCACTCCTAGTTAATGGTAACCCGATAAAGAGGAAAGAATGGGAGCGAGGCTACCAATCCCCATCCCGTAAAAAGAGAATAATCCCACTGCTACTGAAACTCGAAAGCTCAAGCTTAAAGCTACATCTTTGGCTTGGAAATGCAAAGGAGTAAAACTAAAAAAAACGAGAGAATCCAAATGTTGACTCATAATAGACTCGTAACCAACTGAAGCATCAATGCATAAATAGTCTTGTTTTATGTGGCTGTAAATTTTGTTGACTTTGGTAAAAATAATCAAATGGGTGAATTCAATACATTGTAGTTTTGTTAATATACAAAGGCTTTTATTTTCACTTCATCTGTCATGCATCAAATAAGCACAGTGGAGTGATTCATACGAAGAGAAATGAACTCATAAATTTGAAAAAAAAACATTAACAGTTTTTACTTATGCTAAATTGAGCAGTTATTTGTACACAGACATATATATCAATAAATTCCTTTTTTGAGTATTTTTCCTCTGAAGCATTCTGTCCCTTGGACTGATTAACTGTTCTAAGCTATATGTTTGGTCGTTTATTTGATTTATTTAGGTGAAAGGTAGCTTCAATGAACACTAGATAGAATAAAAAACAAAAAAATAAGGCAGTACTTACGGAATCCTTCGAAGTGAGGACAGGAGTAAGACAAGGCTGCCTACTATCACCAATGATTTTCCTGATTGCAGTAGATTGGATAATGTGACAAACAGCGGGAATTGAGGAAACAGGCATAAAATGGACCCTAAAGAAAAACTTGGTAGATCTGGACTTCGCCGATGATATATGTCTGATTTCCCACAAACTGGAAGATATGCAAGCGAAAAGCAACAAGTTGGCAGAAGAAGCATCAAAGACAGGAATTAGTTCAGGTGAACAATAACAGACAACAATCAGCATAAATGGAAGGAACCTGAAAGAAACAGCCTCCTTTACCTACCTACCTGGGAAGCATCGTCTCAACTACAGGCGGACATTACTGACGAGGATATCAAAGCAAGAATCGGAAAAGCAAGACAAGCTTTCATTACTCTCAAGTCAGTGTGGAGGTCAACAACACTCAGCATCAAAAATAAGATCCGGATTTTCAACTCCAATGTGAAGTCAGTGCTACTCACTATACGGATCAGAGACTTGCACTGCACGTCATGAAGAGCATCTTAAACAAACTACAGACCTTCATTAACAGTCGTCTTCGCTCAATACTCAAGATCAGATGGCCAGAAAAGATCAGCAGCAGGGATCTCTGGCAATGAGCGAACCAACCAGGAACAGACTGTGAAAGAAATAGGCAGGAAGAAATGGAGATGGATTGACCATACTCTGCGGAAACCATCAAGTGACATCACTAGACAAGCCATCACTCGAGTGGGACCCGAAAGGGAAGCGGCGAGTTGGTCGTCAGTGCAAGGGTGACTTGGAGGAGGTCATGTGAAGAGGAGATGAAAGCGTGTGGGTAGACTTGGAGCCAGGTGAAAACGTTGGCAGAGAACTGAACGCAATAGAGACGTGAGGCTGAAGCCCTATGTTCCTCTAGGAATTAAAGGAAATAATAACAATATACACAGTGTGTTGAAGAATATTAACACCATTACACCCTGTAGGAGAGATTAAGTGCAGGCGATCTGAGTAAATCTATTCAGCTAATTAAACACGAATGCTGTATCAAAGTCAGCTTAGATAGACATTTTTAAGTTTTACGAAAAAACAGTTTTAATAGCGTTCTCTTAGCTATGTAATAATTTACTTTTAATTTTCTTCTCATTTGTTTGTAAATTGTTCTACATATGAAGGTTGTTTGGAGGAAAGATAGAAGTAAAACATTCGCTTTAAAAAGAATGAAAAAGCAGCATATCGTGCATACACGTCAACAAGAGCACATTTGTTCAGAAAGACAAATAATGCTAGAACTTCGTTGTCCATTTATTTGTCGGTGAGTGAATAAATAATACATTGAAATGTGTTGATTTTCCATTGATATACTAGATTGTTTGCTTTGAAGTCATTCAATTACGGTTTGTATATGGAACATAATTATTAGTATTGAGTGAAAATGGGTAACAGTATATTCTTGCATGAACAGTCATAGGATAATATAACCTTGATGCTTATCACTTTAAGATAATTTGGCTTTTGTGGAAATGCTTGCCAATAAATTCATCAGATGTTTAATGCGGAAAACTCTGCTGTCGTTTATTGACCATTATCAGTACCTATCTGCAGTCTTCGATGATGAAAATAGTGATGAAGGTAGAATAGTTTGTTTTAGTCCTTAGTTTTGTTGTCTTTGAGAAGATATTCGGTGCGTCGGTGGCACAGTGGTTAGGACTCTCGCCGACCATGCACATGGTCCGGGGTTCGATCCCCTGCCGGCGCACACCCGATATCTATGGTCGGCCTGAATTTGGTCTACCGATATCCATGCTGAAAATTCCATACTTGTACTGAAAATACGGTGTGGAATCAAGCTGTAAATCGAAATAAATAAATATTCATCATTATTCTTGAAATTCCTTTTTCCTTTTTCCAAATTTCGAAATAGCATCATTTAAAAGTGGGATCAGAGTTCAGAACTAGGCTGCTTATGTCAAGAATGACTTCATGTTAGGTTGATTAGTCGATTTGCACTGAGGCAAGTAAAATGACTTTTTGATGTAGTGTGCTTACTGTTAGATGTTAGGATGAATTATACAGTGCTACATTTCACACAAATAATAAACTTTCTGTATGTCTATTCTACAGTATTACATTTTTTTTATGGATCAAAACTCCAACTGCTGGTTTAGCAAGTAGTGTCACATATTTATTATTCGTTCTCTTCGTTTCGAATGGAATACAAGGCTTAAGCTACGTATCTCCACTGAACAAGTGCACGTGTGCGCACAACCATAAATAATGGAAACATCTTGCAAAAGCATTTTTATGGTGAAACGCATAGACAACGTTCTATTATTTCCCATTAATTTGTTGACACTAGTATGATGACTTCACTGAAAGCTGCGAAAGTATGATTACCAAATCTGTCATCTGTGTAGCTATAATTCCATATTGGTGAGGAGAAAACTGTGACAAGCGTAAGTACATAGTTAAAAAGCGTAGTCTTTGTAAACCATCATGGGAGCAGAATTTGGGATTCCTTATCATTGCAACTGTTAGAAACAAATGCATTCTTATGTCACTAAACACACACGTTTGCGGTTTTATTGGTTCCGAATGGTCGCGACTGCCCATTTCAACTCGATAATACGCCCGTAGTTGAGTATTACTCGTTGATTATTTTTCTATTAAGCCAATGATATCACTAGTCGTTACGATCCAAATATCGTTTAACTGCATAGTATAACATATTTTCATATAACGAAAAGGAAAAGCACATATAACTTCAAGGTTATATCGCTCTAAAAGGGATAAGTAAATCAAGGAATAATGGCACTGACTATGTGGCCATTAATTGAAAGGATGACTCATTGTTTCACGTATACTTCTGCTGGATTCAATGGTACATTTTTAATATCTTGTTTCGAGGTTATCTATACATCCAGGATATTAAGGGCACATAATATGATATTAAAATAATTACCAGTCTTAAAATATTTTCGTGTTTTAGAATAAGGAGACATAAAAAAAGATCTTAGTTTGGAGATCAGCAAAACCATCTCCAACGTTTAAAAAAAATACTTTCCTAGAAGTAGTATTACTTTTCTAACCGTTACTGTCACATGATATTAGGTGACTTGATTATCATCGAGGAAAGGTGGATACAAAATATGATTACGGACTGAAAAATACCTTTCAAATGAAGATATAAAGACGCATAGACACTCACTCTATTATTATGTCTGCTACTGCAAGATAAGATAACCTTCGTTGATTTTTTTTTCCTTCCTCAAAACTTTAGACTTTATTGTACTTACAAAGACAACAAATTTGTCTATATGCTGTTGGAAGCCTGTCTGGGTGGAGAATTATGGACACTTTTAAGAAATAGGTAGGTAAAAAATATGTCAAATTGATTCTTTCTATCTTGTGTTTAAAAGAAGTATCATTTTGAGAAGTTATATGCCTTTTAATAATAAATACTGTTCAGGTGCATTAACTTTTTTTGAGACTTAACTGTTTGAAAACTTTTAGCCATTAAGTAAACGATACTTATTGCATCAGGGCTCATTATTTTTTAACTGATGGAAAGCTTAAGAAAACAGTGTTATCGGCTCTAAGCCTTCTAGTTGAATAGAGCTGTGCTACAGAGATCAATATTGTGCTATATCCTCAAAATCCACAAATTTTAGTTGCAACAACTTCGCCATGTTAGTTTACACTATCTCAAACTGCCCGAAAAAGCAGTAGAAAACTTCAATCTCTGATGTTGCTCCTTAGTTGAATATGTTTGACTTTCTGGAAACAGAATCCCACATATTTACCAAAATACAGGGTAAGTGGATATGCTGAGAAGACAATTCAGTCGGGACATATTCACTTGTCTTCTGTTATTAAAGCCTTATTCATGACATAGGCATCAGTTACATGGTTTCACGACAGCAGCACACAATACTATGAAGACATATGTGATTAAACATGTTTAGACACTTCACATGTTAACTTTCTAATCGTCTCACCTCAGAGCATTGCAGTAGATAATCGATACGTACATACTGATTATTAAAACGTCAGTTGTCTTTGAAAGCTTGGCGAAAATTCTAATTTACAACAAGCAAAACTGATCTATTTCACAAAAATATTTTACCTACCCAAAGTACCTATAGGAGCAAATACATGGATTACAATGCAGATTGTATCGCATTCTGTTATGGTGTATACAAGCTAATAATGGGATTGACATTATTTGGAATTCGTAATAAATACAGTCCATCGTAGGACGGTAGGCAGAAGCGAATAGTACAGTTGGAGTAACTGTTTTGTCAAAATTATCATCCTGTGTAAAAAGTTAAGTCAGAGTGCTGAAATCTTAATTCGAATTACTGTTAAAATGTATCACGCGAGGTAAGTGTGATCATGAATTAGACCTTTAGTCACAATCGTTTCTGTAAAACCTATAGTGAATCTACTTTTACCATTTACTGATCTTAATTTTAAATAAGAATACATAAGAGAATTTTCGCATGATATCAACATGTTTATATTGATTATTCAACCCGTGAATTTAATAAGGCGTTACTATACTACATTTAAACAGTTTGCAGTCAGCGTACTGTTCATATACACTGGTTTACCGACAAAATACAAGTACGTTCAATGTCAGCTGTTAATCGAAGCTGTGGGAGGTGAATTTAAACCTACTTGATTAGTAAAGGTATATTTAATAATAACTGGAGGGATTTAGCGCTATTTAACGGAAAAGCGACCACAGCCAAACATCAACCAGATGATCGTACTTGAATTTTGGCTCGTTAGGATGTTAACTGTGAATATTCATCCATGAAAAAATGGATTCCTATCTGAAACCCTCGTCTCAAACATACTCCTGACTATTTTACGATGACTCTTGACAAACTACTGATGAACGCTAGGGCTAATTTCGAAATTATTTTCACTTCGAAGACATACCTCTAGCGGATACGAGTAGTTCATAATGCTTGCTAAGCGTATCAAGATGACCTAAACACTGGACATTCGTTTCTTACTCTCGTCTTTTGCTTTGTAATATATGACCATGATGTGAAAACCTTACAAAAATATGTTTGGATTATGAGCATTAACTATACGTTCAAGTAACCGATCAGCTTTCGCATGTTTTTTACCATTCAACCTACTAAACTCAGAAACGTAGTCCACACGAGAAAACTGTCTTATGCTTAGATCATGTATATCTATCTAGTGAACAGTACTAATTGGTGAGTGTGGCTCTCCACTGCTGTTGTTTACCTAACATTGGTATCACTCACGGTTTCAGGCTGATTGAAAGTTGCTCTTTGAAGATATCTTATCATGTGCTTGAAAAGTTTGTAAGGAGGTGCCTTGATTCAGTTGTAGTATTTTTTAAACCCCTTTTCCAGGTATTCTTTGTCGTGAATTTATTTGTCTGAAAATTGTCGAGTCACATATGTATCTGCTTTAAAACACAAGAGTAAATGAGTGTATATCTAGCTGTTTTGAAGTCATCCTTGGCAGCGGTTTACAAGAAGGAAACATTTATTATATATACATATATATTTGATTATCTGTCTTTCCTAAATGATAACGATTTCGATTATGCAAGTTACTTTTATTTGTCTAGCTAAATATAGATCAATGAAAAAGTTAGCTTATCGGCATAGAATATAGAATCAATTCTTCTTGAGACAAATACGTCTTACCATTTGTCGGAATTCCCTTTTTCCTTTGTTTTTGAGATTGCTATACTCCTCTCAATTCGAAAAGTATATTTAGAATTCTTTTATCAGTTGTAACACTCAATACGCATAAATATTTTCGGATATAAATATAAATTAATATTCTACATAATATCTATTAATACTGAACTAGGTTCATTTCTGAAACCATGTTGGTGCTAAACCGATCATTCTGAGGTTATAGGTTTCGTAAAGATAGTTTGATGAAGTTTCCTACAACATAAACTTTTAAAATCTTTATTTTTCCCTTACTCCGATTAAATTTTATAGATCCTATAACAATCCATTTGTTCGTGCATACAAATCAAATTCTTTTCGGTTTGATATGCGAAAAATATGTTACTTCATCTCAAAACTCTGTTTCACTTGTTTTATCAAATTTTGCGGTAGAAATAACTTTAAAAGAGTGACTTTACAGACCACTGTTCCAGGCACATTTGTGGTTGTCTGAATAACCAGTCGGAATTATCGGATTAAAAGTTTGTACGAGTTGGTATGAGAACGCGACAATTTCTTTTTCATAAGTCTTCATAATTTTAAATGTCATAGATGATGATATAAACTGCGACGAGTCAACGAGCCACTACAACTTCTAGAGTTATCTAATTAAAAGACTTAGTGACGTCATTGCATACACTCATATTATGGAAGGAACATAAGTCTCTTTAATGTGTGGACATTCATTGTTGCATGAATTTGTTCATATTCCCAAATGGTTACTTACTCTATTGTAATTGTTTTTGATCTTCTTCTTTGCATAACTTACAAATCAAATCGAATATATTCCATTTCCTTTCCAGAGGTAGATTTGATGATGTCATGACACGATTTGTGGTTGCTTGTGTTTTGGAAGCATTCACTTACCTGCATACACAAGGAATACTTTATCGTGATTTGAAGCCAGAAAATCTGCTTCTTGATGAGAAAGGATACGTAAAACTTGTAAGTTTATGAGAAAAAACCTGGATTCACATTGGTATATTAAATCAGTATGAATTGTTGGAAATGTGTTTAATCAGCTTTTTTCAACTTATGTGTCACTATTTCAGTAAATTGCTTCTCGGTGTATAATACGCCGATGATAATGGTTTATTCTTCTAGCCGTTCATTAATATGAATATACAATATTCTTCTAGCATTTGGTTAAATTTTTTTTCAAGGTTTGCAAATATAATCAGGTTCTTGCACACTCTTAAGGTTTCATGATAAGCCAAAATCTTCTGTATAACTATTGTACACTAAGAAGTATTGGATAGCCAACTGACCCTAATTTAAAATTATTTAGATGTTAACCCCACCGAAAGGGCGTGGGGTTTCAAGACAGGCAGGTCTGTAGTTAGTTGTGTTCATGCATGATTTATCTAAGTAGTAATGCTCCATGTTACGTGTAGGACGATGTATCTCTATTGATGTTGGTTCTTGAGGAAATCCGCCTTGAATTTAGTCAAATTTTCAAAACTCCGCAACTGTAAGATTTGAAATGTTTCGTTTCTGCATACCATTTACAGACACACCTATCATTTTCTCTAAGCAGTCTCACTGTTCACTTTTCTTTAGTTCTCAGTTATATTTCAATGATTTGTCCACTGATATTCTTTCATGGCAGATGTCTGATAGACGGCATCGTTTGAAGGTATAAAGCTTATGTTGGCCACATCCGATGTTTTCTGCGTACATATCTGAGTACGCCAAAAGGTTTTATCAGTGTCATAATGCAAAGGTGTTTTCAGAATATTGCATTAGTTCCTTGTGGAAAGCAGAACTGTGATCATATTGTCACTTTATTTAAAGTGTCTCCAGGCAAACATTTTTAATTATTTGGTTGGGATTGCCTTAATACTTATGCTTTGATCGGTATATGTATATATTTTTTGTTTAGCGAAGAAATATCTCTTTTCAATGACTTCATTTTCAAGCTGTACAGTTGTATTTATATTACAGAAAAAAGCATTATGTGGCACTAGAAATTGTTCAGTCAATATAAATATGATAAGAATAAAGATAATTACAATGATGTACTATTAACGGGGTAGAGTTGAAGTAGATGAATATAGGTCGCAGAGGCATACCATCTTTGTGCACCTTAGGAAGAACATATAAACGAGGGATGGTTGAACCAGACGGCTTGAGATATTCATTCATAAACGAAGTAATAACAGATTCGTCCTTCAACTTCTTCAAAGTTTTTGACCTCTCCTAGCGGACGTCTTCATGGCGAGTTTGGAGAGGAGACAAATGAAAGGAACAGTCTCAAGTCTGTTTATATATAAGCGATATTTTAACGACACGTTCATTATTTGTGATGAAAACTACTCAGTCGCCGAGCTTCTTGGAAAATTTAACGGTTCTCAATCATCTATACTTTTCACTATGGAAGAAGAGCCGAACTTAACATTTCACTTCTTAAATGTGATACTCGACAGAAGAGAGGATGGCAGGTTAAAGTGGTCAATCTACCGAAAGCCAACATTTACAGCTCAGTAAACTAACTTCAGCAGTTGGGTACCTTCAGAATTCGGAAAATTTGCTCTGTAGATACGATCGACTTAGAATTAGAAAGCCTTCATACAACTCTCTTAAATAATGGATATCCTAGACGGTTCATCAACAGAAACATCAAGAAAGAAACAGTCCTAAGCTAAACCACAGTGCCGAAGAAGACACTATTTATGAGTTTGGCTTTCAAAGGTGACAGTATTTCTGAATTAATTAAAAGTCGTTTATCTAAATGTATTAAAGGGTGTTTTTATGAAGCTGACTTACATTTAGTATTTACCAGCCAAAATATGATTTGACTATGCGTCAAGGATAAATTACCGCTCATGTCCACCTCTATGTGCATATACTCATTCACATGCTCGTGTGGGGCTGATTACATTGGATGTTTTAAGCTGAACACTACCCGGTTTGGTCAATGAAAGGTGAGCATAGGACGACGAAGTTTTCTATCTGTGAACACCTTCTGGTATCAGGTCATTCAGCCCCACATGATTTATCCTTTAAAGTTATCTACAGGACCAAACCCAATCACTCCAAAAGCCTACGTTTTCTCCACTTTTGCATTGCCGAAGCTCTAGTTATGCATGGACAGAAACCTGAATTAAGTATTCAAAGATGTTTTGTTAGATCCCTTTCTTCACCTTGATCAGAATAGTGATTTTTCCATTTTATTCTATTTTGCCACCTAAATTCACTCTACTTCACTTCATCTTCACCGTCTTTATTGTTATCATGATCGTACTATTCATGTTTTAGACAACACCTGACCTACAATTTTAAAATCTGAGCACCAACTGATATATTTAATGATCTTTAAACGTTTTGTAGTTCATCTACTTCAACTCTCCCCCGTTAGTAGTACATCATTGTGATTATCTTTATTTTTATCATATGCATATTGACTGAACAATTTCTAGTGCCACATAATGCCTTTTTGCGTAATATGAATACGACTGTACAGCTTGAAAATGAAGTCGTTGAAAAGAGATATTTCTTCGTTGAACAAAAAATACTGTGCTTTTCCTCATGAATTAATGGGTATATTTGGTGATATATGTATATAGGTAAAATTTAGTTCATTTATCAAGTAATGCAGTTATTGTACTGGGTAACATGACGCTACAGTGCATTATTTTGTATTGTGTTGTAACTAACTAAGCGTATTTTGCAAATATATCAATATAATCTGTGAACTTTTTATCCTTGCCGTGTACAAATTGAAAATTATTCAATTATCCCCATTCTAATAATATTCATTTAAACTATATTCTGAAAAACGATCCTGAGGAAGTATTTTAATTATTTTAACAATAAAAAAGACTTTCAATACTGCACACTAGTGTAGGCAAATATTTGTATTACTACTATTACTTCCTTACTGGTACACTGGTTAAACTGAGCTAATGATCTCGACATACATGTATGTTCTGATCATTATGCTGCTTTTGATAAGATCGTACAACTCTTTTGTACATCATCCAGGACATCCACAACTTCCGTTATAATAGTGAACTGAATCTGAAATACACACACTAACCTAACAAGATATATACTGAATGAGAAAAACAAATTGAAACTTGATTGTTTTACATGACCTGTCAAAAAAATATTCTTCTTAAGTTGACAGTATATACATATATATCATTTTCACTTGTTCAGTCGAATTATCCAAGCGATAAATACCATATGGATTTGACACAGAAAGCAGCAATTATATTTGGAAACAAATGATATTATATTTTTTTATTAAATGATACATTGCAACCGTTTGATAAGTTTACCTCGTAAGCATTTTCATTGCCTTTATATGAGGAACCGAGAGACTTTGGGTATCATGGAAATGATTTTCACCACTTTAAGTGAGATGATGCTTATTTGTGCTCAACTGGGATTAGTGAGAAGTGTGTATTTATGCTGGATTTTTTTCTTGAAAGTCGGGACAACTTAACCCTAACCTTTTTAACACTCAGTACTTTGTTCTTTGGGTACAAAATCAGTTGCATATGTCTTGACCTTTCACTGAAAAATTGGACAGTCAGTGCTCTTTTCCTAGCTAATCTTAAAATTCAGTGACCAACCAATGATTTGTAAATTATCACACTAGATCACAATACTTACTTGTCATTGAAAACTTACTTCCGGAAGAGGTATGCACGAAAAAGTGTTTAGACTTGTAACTAGACACATATCATAGGAAACACTTCAGCTACTGCTAGAAATTTAATTTCAATCGGTGCATTTGTTTTATCCCTTTACTTTCGCAGTGGAACATAGGGCTTCAAGCTAGAGCTATGAAGTTTCGGTAGCAGTGGTGTTTATTTTATACGGGAAGGTGTTTCTAGCCTGATGCCCAACCTCCCCTCTTTACAAGTCTTATTATTGGCTTAGCGAGGTAAAGGAGTGCGTTGGCGGCCAGGGGTCGAACCCCAAACTGCATGCGTGGTTGTCAAGAATCCTACCGTTGTGCCACTGACGCACAATCGTTGCGTTTGGTGGTTAGAAATTCAACTCCGAATAAGTATTTTTGGTGTGAATTGCTTTGTTAGTTGTTTCGCCGATGTACACAACTGCCCGCCTCAGAAGGCATAGCGGGTTCCCCCTCAAATGATGAATCATGATTTTGTAGTATATACCACTCATAAAATATTTATGATTTTCAGTTTAAACTTTACGAAAGTTAATAATTAACATAACGGAAAACACTACAGTGTTATGTGCATAAGCAGACTGTCGTATGCCACGCTCCCGTATAACGCGACGAAACGATTGCAACTAGTATTCATATAATGCAATAAATAGTCGTGTATTGCTTGTGAGATGATAGATTGAGCATTTTCATATAGTTTTTGAATTTTCTGTTTAGAAATGCAACATATACACGCGTTGTATGGCAGTCCATTCTACTAATGATGAAGACTATGTTACTTAACTTTTTCAGTGTGATTTTGGATTCGCTAAACGAGTTGGACATGGTAAGAAGACTTGGACGTTCTGTGGTACACCTGAATATGTCGCGCCAGAAATTATTTTAAACAAAGGACACGATCACTCAGCCGACTACTGGTCACTTGGTATTCTTATTTACGAATTACTTACTGGAAGGTAAACATAAGTTCATAAAGTGTATTCACTTCAAATTTTTGATTTTTACTTACTGCCTAGTAGATAAACTTCCCTCCGTATTGAATATTCGAGATGTGTAATGTCTACCTGTTGAGTGTATATCAAGGTCTCCTGTATAGTACTTTCATAATAAAATAATCTGTATGATGTAAAGCACAGTGACATTTCATTATTGACTTGCCGGTGAAATTTCAAGTGCAGTTGATTACTTATGGTCGCATCAGGGTCTGTTGTTTTCACTTAAGTGATTTAGGTGGTATTCTGTAGAAATTTTAAGTTTTATTCGGTCACATCCTTCCTGACATCAATTGGTGAATAAAACGCTTCTCATGATCGTCGATTCCTTGGATTGTGATCTGCATAGAGTCAAACCTTATTGTGCTGGTCAAATTAAGTGTAGTTAGTTTTGGCCTTTGGGAATGTGGCTCTTGCAAGTCTGACCTATCTTCCGATCAAGTGATTCTTTTTTATTGAATAATATAAACTCAGTTGTTATTTCTTCAATCATAATTTATTAAAAAAATTCCAGGCAATTGAACAATCCACTTACTTTTACATTCCTTTCTTCTCTTTTGAAAACATTTGTTTACGCAGCCCACCATTCACTGGTACTGATCCAATGAAGATTTACAATGTCGTTTTGCGTGGAATCGATGGTATTGAATTTCATCCACAGCATATTAGTCGGACTGCGAGCACACTGATAAAACGTTTATGCGCACAAAATCCAGCTGAACGTTTAGGCTATGGACGTGGTGGGATAATCGATATCAAACAAAATAAGTGAGTAACGCTGAATATTCGGGCATTACTTTGCATTATCATTAAATTTTCTCACTAAAATGTAACAGTATGTATTCAGTACAAGTTTCTGTGCAATCGCCTGTGGGATGTTTTCGCATCTTTTCTCGCTATTGATTTACATGAATAGTTTTAGGCTCTCTTGGCATACATACTTCTTTAACTGATGATCGGATATTGTTTGCAATCAGATTTTGCTTGTGTACATTACAGTAGGATATGATGTTCTTATTATAGGCAATGTTAGGGTGATCACAGAAGGCGTCTGTCTGTGAATCAGTATTTGCTCGGAACTTCGACTGGCATACACATACGCCTTGGTAATGCTTACCGCAAATTATTAACCTAGTGAGTTCACTTTGATTTTTAGTGGTAAAGGCGACATTTAAGGGCGGTAAAATACTCAAACTGAGTGAAGCGTGACCTCAGAATTTTTTCCGCAAGCTAATAACAAAAATACGAATAAAACTTGCTTTATCTTATTGAAAATCAACAATTACACCATCAGCAAGTTAGGTGACTGAATTAGGCAGCATTAGGCTTTATGTTATGAATTTCTGCCACCATGCTTTCAATGATTCTTATAACTAATTAACTCATCAGAGGATAGTAAAATAATAGGAATAAAGCGTATGTTGACTTTAGTTATATCAACAAGTCACTTCTCAATAATTCATTCCTGCATACGACAATCCATGTGGAAACTGATTTTTTAATACTACTCAGAATTTAGAAAAGTGTGTGTGTCTGCTTCATATCTAAGGGTACTATAAATTATTCATTGCCCTCCAGTTTTTCTATTGGATTTTTGAATAAATTTACTGGGATTTACCTTCAGAAATGACGTTTATTTATTTTTCTATTTCTGGTCCTAGATTTTCTAGCGTATTAGTTGATTCTCGAACCTCTTGTTGATAAGCCTAATTAAATATGTTTTGACAAATATAGGATGAGAAATCCTGAAATCTCTTTGAATGTGAGAGTTTTATATACTCCCTGTAATCTCAGCTTCTATTTTACTAACAGTGTCCATCACCACCTTTTATATATATTTATATTTTATATTTACTCCATACTTCTTGAATTTCTTCATAATCATGTCAAGTGATATTTTTAATAGCCTCATGTAGCTCTCTCTTTTGTGTTTATAGGCCGCGTTAATATAAGAGGGCATTAAGTTGATGTGTTTTCTGGTTTCGTGACTATTATTCCCTTACAACTTCTAAGTTTTCTGTAAGACTTCTGTTTATGGTTTTGTTAGTTATTGTCTTATTTTATTTTACATTGGTAGGAAGACTAACAGATTTGTGGAGCAGATTGATAAAACCTATTACTAAAGAGTATGTAAAAATGGAGATTCAGGTTGGTGAATTGTTTCATCCCCTGTTGTGCTTCAGTCCCTGTTATAATTCCTCACTTCACTCTCGACCTTTAGTACAATTTTACGATAATTTATCGTAAAGTCCATCATCAAAGTTAAGTGGTTTCGAGACCAGAAATGATTTCCTTTTGTTATATGAACAGCTATAACTAATATAATTATAAATCTTCATTGGTTTCACAAGCATTTACAGCACTTGTTATTTATTCACTTTAGGTATTTCCAAGGATTTGACTGGATTGGTTTGCATCGTGGAACACTAACGGCTCCTATACAACCAGTGGTAAGTTATATTCACTGCAATGATAACTAGTTTGTTTTATTTCAGCCTAATCATCCTTTCTGTTGATGCTATCGCAGTGTAATAAAAAGTTTAGATATATTTCAGTTTTCACTATCTTTTTTGCATGTCGTATTACTGACACGAGAGTCTCAGGTAACTGTGGAACTGTTAGCGTCTCTGCAGCTCTAACTGAGAATATATATATATATATACATATATGAGTTGTTTCACTGATTGACGTACTACATTACGAAATGAAGACTTGATTAGCAGTCGAATCTCATACTTCAGTCAGTAGATCCCTGATCCATGAAAGTTAAGGGTATTGGTTCAAATAATACCTTTGTCTTGGTTCTTATTCCAGATTCAATCCTCACCTCCCTTATTTCAGTATCATTCTGAGACTGTTACAGAAAGTTCAACTGAGAGATCGCAGTTTTAAGATGAAGTGTCATTATTTTCACTATATTAAAATACTCACTTAAGCTAGTCGGAGGTGTGCAAGTGCTTTTAAGTTGGAGAGTCCATACAATGTAATTTTCTAATTAGCTCTTTTTTAATTTCTGTTTTTGTTTTTTCTACACCAGATAAGGGGTCCAGATGACACAACCAATTTTGACAAATACCCTCAACAGAATGAAGTTCCACCTGATGAAACATCAGGTTGGGATATAGAATTTTAATATGGTTTTATTTCGTTTCCTTTATCAAATAAACTTCTACCTTGTTTATCCTTTATTCTACTTGTTCGTGTACACGTGTATGGTGTCAATGTCTGCATTTGAAAGTGTGTGTTGCGTTTTTATTCTTCAAATTTTAGCATGTTTATCAACTTACCTACATATTTATTACTATGATGTCAACGCACAAACTTATAATTACTCCTATCACCTACTAATTACCTTTTATTCTCATTTTCTACCTTGGAACACTGACTAAAAACACGATCTGACTATTGAAAATCTTGAACATCAATTCTGTTTTTCTTTTCTTTTATGTTCCACTCACTTTCAGGAAGTCATTTTGAAGATATACTGAAACATATATATTTATATATATATGAACACATATATACATATGCCCTATTTTATACACAATAGATATATTTTCTTTGAGATTAAATAAACATTAATGTTTGCATACACCTTAAATTGTAGATTTTGAGAACACCTCTCTCTTCTTTTTTACTACTTATAATTTAGCATTATTAATAGTTGTCATCTCACTTTTCTCAAGAAGAATGAGGAAAGTGTGTTTCCTTATTTATTATTCTCTTGCCAACTGTGTTTCACTAGTGTGTATATATGTTGCTGATATATATATATATATATATATATGTATAACACTGAATGAATACGTAGTCCAGTTTCTACTGTGCGTAATCGTTAATTTCATATTCTAGAGTGTTACATTGTTCAGTTTCATTTAGCCAAGTCATTGTGCAGTTCATACCAATACATCAGGGATACAACATCTATATTCAACTTATTTTTATTTTACGAATACAATTTTCAATCAGTTATATGCAAAACTGCTGAATCTTTCCAACTCCATTGAATCTTCCCTACAGTTCTACACTGTATTAGCAATCTTATATATTAAAAAAAAATATTGTTTGACACTTAATACATTGTTTTCAATATTATCTTCTATTTTGTTGTATTAGTTTACGTTTTCTTATATTTACTTGTACATTGTCATGTGACTTTGAGCATTCAAATCTCTTTGTGAATACTCTTCATGTATTCTGTTTTGTTTCGACAAATCCAGGAGTTCATCGTCTGAGTTACATTTTATGGGAACAGGTTGTAGTAAACTATTTGTCCATGAATAATATTTTTGTGGTGGAAAGAAACTCTTAGCCATGACTACTGGTGTGGTCTTGTTTTAATAAAATCTTTATTCTATAACATTTCTCTTTTTGAATTTCTCCCAATTCTATCCTCATCTGATATTTTTGAACCACCCTGTTTAGAATAGTTACAACTGCATGTATTACCAATTCAGTGAAATCACTTAGGTAATAGTGAGAATTAAAGCAGATTATTTCATGTCATATTTAATCGACTACTGTCCTTTGAAATAGTAACATCCAAAGGTGTAATAGTGGTAAGACGTTTCCTTGGGATAAGCAGAGAACGGAAACAACAAGAACTATCTCAAGTAAAGACATAGTATCTCCTGGTAGTAAGGATAGATCTTTATTTAAGAGTTCTGTGCTAGCTTTGATTTTTAAAACTTTACTTTGACTCGTTATTCGTTATTAAATATTGGTAGTTCTAATAATTTCACAGTAGATTTTGCAACAGGGGATGCTTCGCATATTTGCATAGAACAGGATTATTAAGCACCCGATTTTGTATATAGCGGCTTTTTTTAACCTGTTGGACTTAGAAAGAATCTTTAAAACCACTGAGAATATCCACTGAAATACGTGAAACAAGTATGCAGTGTTTCTTGAAGTTCAGTTTGTTTTTGGCAAGTTGGTGAAGAGTAGAATTTTAAGCACATATTAATATCTTCATACAGTTATTTCCCCTGAAAAGCTTTTACAAAGCAAGAAGAAATGACGTCATTATATTCCGTGTATTCTTTTCAGCTGCGTAGAACCATGAACAATCTAATGTCAATGTTGATATTAGGTGGTTGGAGGTAATTGGCAGGGATACTTCGACCTAGGTTTCGCGCTGGTTGGTACTCGTCAGCAAGGTGTACCTGCAACGTTGAAGGAACTAATATCCCTTCTGATATTCGAACCCACCTCACCCGGTACTGCCTTCAGTTATAAAATAAACAATACAACAAATAATTTAGTTGATTAGAGATCATAAAGTGTTTAATCAAGAATATAAGTAGAGACACAATCAGTGTAGAAAATTATTTTGTCAAACAGAATGTAATTAAGGTAAAACAATTAATAGAAACAGTTCAATAACGTTAAGTATATCTACAAATATAAAGCAAGATTTTAGCTGTAAGTCGCGCAATTTAGGAACAGCAAAAAACGATTTATTGAGTTGTATTTCAAAGATGTTTAGGAAATACTCAGGATTACTACTGAATGGTTCCTCACTACTTAGTCTTGCAACTTATGATATTTTAAGTGAGATAAAATATTTTGAAAACACCCTATATACTACTCTCAAAAGTAATTGGAAAGTGCAGCCTAGAATTCATAGGTTTGTCATCCGTTTTGGTAGCAGCTTAATGGTTATTTTTTTAAGAAATGCCATCAACATTAAAATGTGTTCAAACTGCGCACTTATTTTAATCTTAGTCTCTACTTATCTGACTTTCTACACAAATTTCCTTGGTAATGGCCACTTTCTTAAGTGTTAGAGGTAAGCGCAATGCCAATCAATTAGATTACTTTGCAAATGTTACCCATCTGAGCAAAGTAAAACAGATATCACTTGATAGTCTGATTTACTGGATATAAAGTTGGCTAGTTGAATGAAATGAAACCTCTGAAAGAAATTATTTTACTGTTCCCTTGGGTTCCTAGTGGAACATAGGAATTCAACTGCACGTCTCCACTTGTTTCTGTCTTCTGATGTACTTTTCACTTGCATCCATGTTAGTCCATACTGTTTCAACTCCTCTTCACACGATCTCCTTCATGTCACCCTTGGATGTCCCACTCGCCGCTTCCCTTTCGGGTTCCACTCAAGGGCCTGACGCGCGGTGTCACTCAGCGGCCTCCTCAGCGAGTGTCCAATCCATCTCCACTTTCTCCTGCATATTTGTTGACCGATTGGTTCTTGTTTTGTTTGTTCCCATGGTTTCTTGTTGGTGATTCTTTCCGGCCATCTGATCTTGAGTATAGAGCGAAGACAGTTGTTGATAAAGGTTTGCAACCTGTTGGAAATATTCTTTGTGACCCGCCAAGTTTCTGATCCGTACAGAAGAACTGGCTTGACGTTTGTATTGAAAATCCGAATTTTGTTGTTGATTTTGAGTGACGAAGATTTCCAGATTGCTTTCAGGTTGATGAAGGCAGAGTAGCTTATTTGTTATTACAACAGTACAGTTAAGACAGTTAATTCCTTCGATGACCAACTGATGGATTGATTGATTTTCAACGTGGAATGTGTCACAGATTGGTAGCATCTCAAGTTAGCGTAATCCATGTAGCACGAAAAGGTAGACAAAAGAGAGAAAAAAGCGGATTCTAAAGCATTACAAAAAGTTGGACTGTGGTTATGTAACATCACTAAAAGTGAATGCATCTGCTCCACTGAGGACAGTTTTGAGCCATATCTGCAATATTCTCAGTCCCTCTAATAGATTTAAATTAAGCAGATGAATATTGCAATATGATATCATTTTATAGTTTCTCTACGATTGTATTACGATAATAAAATGTTTGACAATTACTCTGTTATATAAAATAAAAGTATTTATAAATGAACAGTCTCAAAGGTTGAAGTCTATTGTTTTCTGTACACATATTTTAAGTTGTGTGAAATTAAAACGAAGTATTTCCATTGCCTTTAAAAACCATGAATTAAAGTTTCGTGAGATGATTGAGAAAAATTCAAAAATATTGATTTTGTGAACAGGCCCTAATATTGATGTAATCTGGTAGATAATTTCGGATTTCTAGTCACATTTAGGGCATCTGGGTAATAATATCTCTATTCTGGACAGTCATTAAAAAATCTACAGAACTTTCAGAGGAGTTTATTGCATGATATTTTCCCTTCGTAAATTATCTTCAAGGAGAGTATTAACTGACAGTATATCCTGTGACACAATGGTCTCTGAGCTGAAGCAAAAACCATTCCATCTGCTTTGTCTCCTTCAAGAAATCCATAATATCTGGTTGAAGGCTAATTGTAAGATATTCATAGGTACATTTTTAGACCCAAAAACATTACTGAAGAACAGTTATTTCATGTAATGGCATACGTTGCCACCCATAATCAGGCCATTCATCAATTTTGGTGGGAATTTGTGTATCAGCAGCCTATACAGATTTTAAATACACACAAGAATAGATAATATCAATAGAGGTCATATCTTAGTCGATGAAAACAAAACCGAACGAGAGAAAATCTATGCAATAGAGAGATAAACGTTTTCTGTAGCCCAAGTTATAAGCAGGCCGCCAATACCCATATGACTTGAAGCCACTCACACCGGACACATAGGACCTGATAAAGCAGATGGGGATGGTGAAAGAGAAGATGACTTAATGTGAATATGGACAACAGAAGGAGGAGCTAAGCTCAACTTACATCGCACTAAACAAAGAAGTGAAGAAGAGTTCCAGGAAAGACAAAAGACAATTCTACGACACACTGACTAGCAACTGAAGCAGAATAGACAGGCTGCAGGTAAAACCGAACTCAGGACATTATGTCAGATAACCAGGTCTCTACTAGGGAAGAAATCAACACAATTCATGAAGCCAATAAAAGATGTTCAGGAAACCTGATTACTAAGAAGAGGAAACGAATAAATCAATGGGCTGATCACTTTAAAAGACTCTTGAACCGACCATCACCTGCAACTCGCCCAGAAATACCACCACCACCAACAGCACGCACACAACTGCCTGTCAGTGGACACCAGTCCTCCAACGAAAGAAGAAATCCTGCATGCGGTCAAGCTACTGAAGTCCGGGAAGGCAAAAGGCCAACACGGAATTCCCCTAAACCACTGAAAACCAACCCAGAGACTGCGGCAAATGTGCTCACACCATTATTACAAAAGGTTTGGAAGGAAGGAAAGGTGCCTACCAATTGGAAGAAAGGCTACCTCGTCAAGCTACCAAAGAAGGGCGACCTAGGCCTCTAGAAGAACTGGAGTGGAATAATGCTCCTGTCCACTCCAGGTAAAATACTATGTCACATCATCCAGGAGAGAATAAAAGATGCACCCAACGAAACAAGCTGGCTGGATTCAGGAAAGGCAAGTCAGGTGCTGATCAGCTCTACGCATCATCATCATCGAACAAAGCATAGAATGGCAGTCGAACCTCTCTCTACCTCAACTTCGTCGACTTCGAAAAGGCTTTCGGCAGACTGCGTCGACCAAAAGTAATTTGGAAACTACTTCAACACTATGGCCTGCAGCGCCACAAGTCTTAGTCAGCCTCATTCAACAGCTAGCTATATGACAATGCCACGTGTTAAGAGATACACAACGAAAAGCTTAGAGAGGCGTTCGAAGTGCATATAGGAATAAGACAAGGCTGCCTGCCTATTGCCACCAAATTTATCCCTAATCATAGGGGACTTTAGAAGATCTAGACTTCGCGGACAAGTTATTTCAAATGCTCCACAAACTCCTTCGATCGTTATGCACCAGAATTGAAATTGCTCGCGAAGTGAAGAAAGTGGATGTGGAGTAGAATGTTAGCTTGATATCTAACCGAGGCTTTTGATCTGTCGGTTGCAAGATTTGATCACTCTTGAATGGTTGGTTAATAAAGATAACTCTCTTTCTCTTTCAAAGGAGCAGTTTCCTCTTATTGTGGCATAAAATGAAGTTATCAGGATATCCATTAGCCAACAAAACTACATGTATTCACCGTAGCTCATCCATTAATGTATCGCTTGTACTAGTCTTATGGGCTCTAAAAAGCAGACATTTTACCAGGGAACGTTTACACTGGATGTTAACAAAACTGCTGAAATGAAAATATTGTCCATTTCCCATCAACTTGCGAAATACTGATTGCTTAATTGTTTCGTCTTCCCGCCTAGTGACTGAAATATCTAGGAAACCCAATTTATTATTCAATCTGAATTGCGATGTCTCTCCAACATATGGGTGAATATGTTCAAACAAAGTAATAAAACCATTAATTGACTCACTATTTTCAACAATAATGAGTGTATCATCCACATAACGTTTATAAAGCTAAGCGACTGTCCACATGACTTCCCTATTATGTAAGT